CTGTTCTTCTGAACAATGTCTGGAACGACCCATTTTCCTCAGAATTTCAGAGAGAAATGTACTGTAACCAGCATGTACAACATTTGCTGCCTTCCTTCCTTAAATAAGGGCAATAATTGCCACCTGTCTTTCAAAGAATGAATGACCTCACTAATAGAACTCCACACTGCTATTATTTTGAACATGCCCCTTTCTATTAGTGATTCAATTACACAGAATCAGCAGCATGCATGTCATGACTGTTGGGTCTGTTGGATTTCTATTACTCTACTACACCTGCTAGTAAATTATTTGCCATGTAGAAGTATCATTTCTACCAAAAAACAGTGATTGATCAGGTTAGTGATGTCTGACTGCTATTATTTTGAACACAACTGTATATCATGTAGAATCACTGGCTGTATGGAGCTGCAGGAGACACACAGGCTTTTGCCCCAGGGATCTGATAAAATGGCAAAGATGCATTTGCAGAACATGTGTAGGCCTGTCTATTTTAAACATCGCTACTGCGGTGAAGCATTGTCAACAGTCCTGTAACAATCTTCATTCCATCATGACAGTGCATCCTGCAGGACCTTCAAGGACTCAACTTCTCCTGAGGGATCACAGCACTAGACCCGCAGAACACCCTATCTGCGTGTTTACCTAATAGGTTGTGCCCAGGAGATCACTGCCTGCAGGATCCAACACTGAAAGTCTAGGTTACAAGCAGGGGCGGACTGACCATTTAAAAACTTGGGCACTGCCCGAGGGCCCGGGGTCAGTAGGGGGCCCCGTGAGATGCCCCTGGTACCTTTTTCATAGGCTTTTTTGAGTTTGGGCAAGGACACAGAGGCCCCATGATCCACTATTGCCCAGGGGCCCCATGAGTTGTCAGTCCGCCCCTGGTTACAAGCTGTCCTTGCTCTTGCATGTGGGGTCCAGATACAACACTGGGCTTGCTGGCCGTAGCAACTGATCAGGATAAAGCCCACCTGCCTCTGCACTATCAGGGGTGCTAGGATGAGGCTAGGAATTAGGGGGAAAAAAATCATGAAAGAAATCTTCAGAAGGACACAGGGAGGCGCAGCTATCATCTAAGGACATTAGCTGAAAAAAAAAAAAAAAAAAAAAAAAAAAAAAGACGGCTTAGCTGAGCTGGGAAGGGCCATGCCTGGGTAGGGGATTCCTTCCTTTTTTGTCCATTCACCTGTAGGTGGCAGCATAACAAGCAGTTGTGAATATGAAGTCCTTTGTGTCCTGTGATGCACGATTAAAAAATTACTTTCGTTTTTTTTTTTTTTTTTTTTTTTAAACATTTGCACTTGATATACTGGTGTATTATTATAATGTGACATTAAAACATGGGAACTGCCATCACTTTATCATTCAGGGTCTCTGGTTTCAGAAAATATATCACGTTTGGGGTTTAACTAATCTTCACGCCTAGAATAATTATCCTAATATGTGCAAAAAACTGCTCTAGCAGCAAATGGGCTACAGCAGACCTGAACTCTAAAGTTAGTCCTGCTTTTATAAATACTTTTGTTGGAGGGCAGCAAACTTATATTAAGGTAAAAGTCAGACAGGGAACTCTATAGTATTGGTGCTTAAAAAGCAGCACTGCTGTGAATCACATGATCCAACCTGCTAATGAGGCAACATAACTTGAAACTGGAGCCATTTTGACATATAATACTAATAACTTTCTAAGCTGCTACCCTAAAGCACCGGTAAGCAGAGCTATGAAAATATTGGCTTCTCCTGTTGACTTTGAAAGATGCAGTTTATAGGGCTGTCATTCTGATTTTACTACTTAAGAGCCACGAACCTCAAACAAGCATGTATCTAAAGAGATCTGAAAAGTGAATTCATGCAAAGCACGCATGCACATATTAAAGGTCTGTAACTCACTAGGTAAAATCAGGACAGCCTAGCAGCCTTCACTTTTAGAAATTCAGTCAGAAGTGGCAGCTGCTGTATGTGTATCCCAACAGGTTCACTTTAAAGTCACCCTAACTCCACAGTCTGCTTTAAGCCACAGAAATGTTAGTCATTCTTCACTAGTGTGATGTAACAGGTTTTTTTTTTAAACAAGAAAAAGTTTGAAGAAAAATGATCACTATCACATATACACACATGCATTTTTTTTTTGAACAGACTATTGTGTCTTTTTAAATCAGCCACTCAGATTGAGGAAAGAACCTGTAGGAGTTAATGTAACATTTGGGATTTGGAAAGACTCTCAATCACCTGTACAGCACATCCTCCCTAAGCTATTATATCTACAGCTAACGAACATGAGAGGCTATAAATGAGCTCTCATGGGATGAAATCTTTGCTGCCATCTCCTCTGATTCTCATGGCAGGCTTATTAGACGCCTAATACACTGGATTTAAAAAACAAATGTACATGGACATCACCTCCGGACAGAGATCAGTAGGTAATTGGTTTAGCTCAGAACTGAACTCTAGGCACACGTGTAAATACAAGCATGGGTGTTGTATTGCCTACCAAAGGATTTGGATTTCCATCTATCAAGTCCTGCAATTAACACCGCTCCATCGCACAGCACAGAGATTAAGGGTGACCTGTCTTTTTCCCTGCTGCTGTTAAAAGCAGCTATGGCACCCCCTACCCCTAACCTGTTATTGGACAGTGAAGGTGCAGCAAAAGACTGACAAGGTCATATCTCTGCTCTATCCTGCTGTCCAGCATATTCCTTGGTTAGCACATTTTAATACAGCACACCTGACTAGGCCTAAGTAGTGTCCCTTCCTTTTCCAGTCTGAATGCTGCTGGTTGGGGGATAACAAGAGTTTCAAATTCAAAAACTGATATACAGTTGCAAGAAAAAGTATGTGAACCCCTTAAGATTACGTGGAGTTTTGCATGAATTGGGCATAAAATGTGCTCTGAACGTCATCTAAGTCACAACAATAGAAGAATACAGTCTGCTGAACATAATACTACACAAACATTAGATGTTGCCATGGTTTAATTGCACATAACATGTAAACATGCACAGTGCAGGGAGGAAAAAGTATGTGAGGCCCTAGCTTAATGACTTCTCCCAGAGCTAATTGGAGCCAGGAGTGAGCAAACCTTGACTCCAATCAGTGTGATGATATTGGATGTGTTGCTGACAGCTGTCCTGCCCTTAAAAAAAACACACACCTGTTTTGGGTTTACTGGTTTCAAGAAGCACTGTCTGATGTGAACCATGCCTCGCAGAAAAGAGCTCTCAGAAGACCTACGATCAAGAATTGTTGACTTGCATGAAGCTGGAAAGGGTTACAAAAGTATCTCCAAAAGCCTTGATGTTCATGTGTCCATGGTAAGACAGACTGTCTACAAATGGAGAAAGTTTAGCACTGTTGCTACTCTCCCTAGGCGTGGTCGTCCTGTAAAAACGACTGCAAGAGCAGAGCGCAGAATGCTGCATGAGGTAAAGAAGAATCCCAGAGTGTCAGCTAAAAACCTACAGAAATCTCTGGCACATGCTAACATTTTTGTTGACACATCTACAATAAGGAAAACATGAAACAAGAATGGAGTACATGGGAGGACACCACGGAGGAAGCCATTGCTGTCCAAAAAGAATATTGCAGCACGTTTGAAGTTTACAAAAGAGCACCTGGATGTTCCACAGCACTACTGGCAAAATATACTGTGGACAGATGAAACCAAGATTGAGTTGTTTGGGAAGAACACACAACACTATGTGTGGAGAAAAAAAGGCACAGCACACCAACATCAAAACCTCATCCCCACTGTAAAACATGGCGGAGGGAGCATCATGGTTTGGGGCTGCTTTGCTGCCTCAGGGCCTGGACGGATTGTTGTCATTGATGGGAAAATGAATTCCAGTGTTTATCAAGACATTTTTCAGGAAAACGTATGACCATCTGTCCACCAACTGAAGCTCCGCAGAGGATGGGTGATGCAACAGGACAATGACCCAAAGCATACAAGTAATTCAACAAAACAATGGCTGCAACAGCACAGAAAACGCCTTCTGGAGTGGCCCAGTCAGAGTCCTGACCTCAACCCGATTGAAATGCTGTGGCATGACCTTAAGAGAGCGATTCACACCAGACATCCCAAGAATATTGCTACACTGAAACAGTTTTGTGAAGAGGAGAGGTCCAAAATTACTCCAGATCATTGTGCAGGTCTGATCTGCAACTACAGGAAACGTTTGGTTGAGGTTATTGCTGCCAAAGGAGGGTCAACCAGTTATTAAGTCCAAAGGTTCAAATACTTTTTCCTCCCTGCACTGTGAATGTTTACATGTTATGTGCAATTAAACCATGGCAACATCTAATGTTTGTGTAGTATTATGTTCAGCAGACTGTGTTCTTCTATTGTTGTGACTTAGATGACGTTCAGAGCACATTTTATGCCCAATTCATGCAAAACTCCACGTTATCCCAAGGGGCTCACATACTTTTTCTTGCAACTGTAAGCCTCACTGGAAAATAAATGATTTTTTTCAGAATTACATAACTGCAATTCCCCCCGCCCCCAAGAACAGCTGAGAGCTCAGGTTTCAAAGGAACCTATAGTGTATTTTTTGTCAACTTCTTTTTAATAAAGCCATGATTTGTGTAAGGTGTACCCAGGACACTACTTTTGCAAGACATTTGAAAGGTAGAGCACAAATTTTCTCTTTGTAGTTTGTTCCAACTGACTTTGCATAAGCCCTTCTTGAACATATACTACGCCATCTAAGGGGGGGGGGGTGACACACTGCTTCAGTCAGCTGAATGTGTAATTTGAGCTTCAGGTATTGATTAAGCCTGGTAGACATGTGAAGAGCAGCCTAGAACGTTGCTCGCTTGCTGGGAATACATATTTAACAATACAATACTTCATAATCACCCTAGTAAAACATTTACATTTTTTTAAATGCTATTTAAATGTTCGGTACTGAACATAATCTATAAAACAGCATGAGTTTCCCCTTAAATCCAGAAGGTATTACTATTATCTATGTATGACAGATGAGCCCTCTCACCTAGGGGAAAGTATCGAGGATTGCTGACATAAACCTTGCCCAGTGCTGTTAACTTCAGGTTTAACGATTGCATCCGATCCGCAGCGCCCATTGCAACACTGTCACTTAATTCTGAAGAGAAAAAAAATGACATCTTGTTAAAAAGGGAGCTTCTCTATTAAAAAAAACAAACCAAAAACAGAAAACAAACCAAAAAAAAAAAATGCTTTTTAATACAGCAGAGATACGATTCTTACCGAAGAAAACCGGTATTCTTACTGGTTTTCAATGTACATTTTTTGCACCGCCAAGATGAATGAACTAAAGCACTTGAACGGGAGTGACATAATCTCGGCTGATCAAAATGGCCAAAAATTAAACCTAGAAAGACTGGCTGAAGATGTCAGTGGTCAGCAAGAGAGATCCAGGACACCTCAACACTGAGTGAATTTGAGTATAGATCCGCTATCAAGCGATTGTAAAGGATTGTTTTTTTTCTAAAATAACAAGCATATCATACTTACCTGCTCTGTGCAATGGCCCCCCGATCCTCCTCTTCTGGGGAAACCTGCCAGTGGTCTTGGCTCCTCCTCATGGACTGCCCCCATAGGAGTGAGACAGGAAGTCCCTGTCCCGCTACCGGCACACAGTGCTGTACCCTGTGCGTAGCTGAGGCTACATACAGTTTATACAGCGTGACAGCCACTGCATCTTTTAGGAAAGTAAATGGTTCATTTGGACCAGCTTAGTCCAACAAACTATTTTTTTTCCAGATTTTTTTTAGTAAGAATTTTTGTAAATTAACACCATAGAAACAAGCTGCCACATAGGGCAGGAGAAAAAAAAAAAGAGCAGCCAAATAAACGGTAAAAGAAATAAAACTACAAAATATCCATTATTATTTCCAGAGCTAGAGATATACAGCTGCAAGAAAAAGTATGTGAACCCCTTGGGATTACGTGGAGTTTTGCATGAATTGGGCATAAAATGTGCTCTGAATGTCATCTAAGTCACATGCTGTGGCATGACCTTAAGAGAGCGATTCACACCAGACATCCCAAGAATATTGCTACACTGAAACAGTTTTGTGAAGAGGAGTGGTCCAAAATGACTCCAGATCGTTGTGCAGGTCTGATCTGCAACTACAGGAAATGTTTGGTTGAGGTTATTGCTGCAAAAGGAGGGTCAACCAGTTATTAAGTCCAAAGGTTAACATACTTTTTCCTCCCTGCACTGTGAATGTTTACATGTTATGTGCAATTAAATCATGGCAACATCTAATGTTTGTGTAGTATTATGTTCAGCAGACTGTGTTCTTCTATTGTTGTGACTTAGATGACGTTCAGAGCACATTTTATGCCCAATTCATGCAAAACTCCATGTAATCCCAAGGGGTTCACATACTTTTTCTAGCAACTGTACCTCAACCAGCCACAGTGATACAAAGAATAATTAACTAGCATACATATTATGAGACATAGAGACCTAGCAGAAGGGAGGGTGCAATAGTTCATCCATTGGGACCAAGCAAACTAAAAATTTTACTAAAAACATAGAAATCAGCTTTATCTGTAGTGCTAAATAGGCTTAAATACGTACCCTTTTCAGACCTATTCCAGAAGATTTAGACAAAGGAAAGTGATAATGTGAAAAGTACAGTGGATCCCCCACCAGCAATCTGACCACTCTTCTCTGCAATCACTCAAGAATTAATTACTATGAACAACAGATCAGAGGAAAATCTAATTTCCTTTAATGTATTAAAGCTTTCAAAAGCTTTTATAAAGGAATTTGGAACTACAACAAATAGGTAGCCTGCCATTGCTAAATTATTTCTAAAACTGCAAAAATTTTCATGGCTGACCATCTGACCCCCCTCAATAGCTTCGTAGTTTGAGTTATTGATCCAGAATAGGTTTGCAGATTAAAGAAGAACTTCACGCTCTCAATCCACAAAGGCTATTTTGAATCCTTATGCTGCTAGCATTAGTAATTAGATAGGAAAGTATATCATAATTACTTAGTATATCATATTTACTTGTTTTAAACTTTTTTTTTCACATTTCTTTGTCACTTCCTAGTTTCCATGCCTAGGTAAATGATGTCATACATCCCAGGAGTCTTCAGGAAGGGAGGAGGGGTTTTCTCAGCCAAGCACACCCTCTTGCATGTATGCATGAACTAAGGGCAGATGGATTTCAGGAAGTAATTGCTACTTGAATCATCTGCCCTTGTTCAAGATGGCCACAGCCAGAAATGTTAGGGGGTGTTTTTCTAAGTGATTTCTCAGTAAAAATAAAATATGGAGACATGGATCGGTGGGGGAAATTTGCTTTGAATATTAAAAATGAACAGTTTAACCTCTTCACGCCGGATGAACGTAAATGTGCGGCTTCCTGGCGTCAGGGCCTAGACCCTGAATGGCCGCACATTTGCGTTCTATTAAAAAAAGAACATATGTGCTGAGAGCGCACGCCCTGCGCGCTCCCAGCACACATGTCCGGTACTCACGGAAAGGTCCCGATATTCTCTTTCGATCGGGACCTTTCTCGATCATGTGACCGCCATGACAGCATGTTACGGCAGTCACATGACCCTAAACTCCGCCCCGCCTCCTGAAACCCTTAAAGGGCCGGGAGGCGCCGGCGTGAAGGGGTTAAATTAAATAAATGATTTTGGTTTGTGGTGCTCAGATACATTATAGTTCCGATTTAAAGGGCTGTTTTATAAACCTTTATATAGCGCTGCTAAAGTACATTATGTTGTGTCAGCTTTGGGATGATAAATTCATACCACCCTGCCTAAAGGCACTCTAAAAAAAAAAAGTTACCTTCAGATAGCAGGGAAAGGAAGCAAAAAAGAAAAAAAAAAAAGGTGTTTAAAGTGTTACTAAACCCACAACAGTAAAATCAGTCTGTATATGCAGTAAAGCATGCTTGTTATACTCACTGTGGAACCTAAGGGGTTAACCCTCTGTACTGTGTAAAAAGGCTGTTTGTTTTTCTCTGCCCCTCCTCTTGTTCATATGTCCACCTGATAAGACAGACTGAACCCATAGTCACATGCAGTTTAATGTGTATTGTCAGATGTTTTTTTTTTTTTTCTTGAGAGGGTGCATGTGATCAGCACAGGGCCAAATCAGCACTGCCCAGACAGAGGTAAGGGGTTCTGCATCCTACTAGAGCAGAAAGAAAACTCCTCCTACAAGCATTAACCAGTGCTCTGCTGAAGTCATAAGACTGCTCTAACTGCTGATGAGAAAAGGTATTTAGCAGTTTATATTTACTAAAACAATTGCAATTCCATGTTGTGTGTATTGTGGGAGACCAGATTTAGTGAATGCAGGGTCCGGGGTTTTGTAACACTTTAGTAGGTACACCCGTTTTGCACAAGAATATTAAACCTGAAAATTAGTAACACTAACTGCATTTCATTATTTTCAAAAGCTCCTCTTTTTGAAACATTATTCAACTTTCAAACTTTGTTTCAAAATACAGAAGTCACAAAAAAATTTGGTCGGTTGCCAATGCTGACCTCCCCTTTTGATATTATTACTCCCCTTTTGATATTATTACTCCCCTTTTGATATTATTACTCCCCTTTCTGCCAAGCTGATGAACTGGCTTTGACACTTTTCGGTTTGCTAACATGAAAACAAATATAGAGTATTCTGACATTTACATCATGCTCGTTTCAGGTTGGTAATTCAAAAGGTATTACAAACATTTTAAAAAGTTGGTCAGCAAAGTTAGCCCCTATTTTTTAATGACCTGTGTACATTAAAATTGGCATCAGTCACAATGAAACCATTTCTGCATACATGACTGCAGAGTATACTCACAAAGGGCAGAAAACAACCTACACATCTTCCACAGCTGAACGCAGCATTCATACCTCTTTCTATGATTTCCTGCCACAAATTCTGCACCAGGATTGGGTCTGAATGGCCAGCACAGTGAATGATTGCCAGCTTACATTCCGACAGTTTGAATGGATCTGCAAATTCCCCATATAACTGGAGATTTAAACATAGAAAAAAGTGTTAAACTTTAGATTGACAGATTGTATGATTAAGTCATATAAATTATAAAAGGATATAGTTCCAATGTCACTATTTAAAAAGCACCTAATTTTTAGCCGTTCACTACAGTCCCAGGCAAACCTATAAAGGTACCTGTCAGAATAGCGATAGTGGAGCTGCCATTGCTACCTCATTTCTGAAAGTAAAGATGGGGCTATTTTACTTGCTTTGCCATCTCAAGTCACTCACCTTCAGCAAGACAGCCAAGGATTGGAACATTTGCTACCTAAATGTTCCAGGTTTGTGAAGGAGGCAAGGTTCCACTATTTAGTTGTTGGTGGACAACTACACCTTCAGTAATTCAGTTCCATCAACTAATCCTTCCACCTCCATGTGCAGACCACATGGTAAAATACTTATCTTTGTCTTCATTACAGTGATATTTCATGTGAACCCCTGCCTAGTGCTGCACAGCTTTTGCAACAAAAATTGTGCATGCGCACTTTGGCCCTATTCGTTTTTTTGATCAACCACAGTCATGATGGCCTCCAGTGGAGTATGGCTCATCCATAGGCATGACTAAGGTCATAGCGTGAGTGCGCAATAACAGGAGCACCTGGTGGGTCCAGTCTTGTTGCAAAGGCTATACTGTACTAGGCAAGGCTGCACAGGGAATATCACAGGAATAGCGAAGGTGGTAAGTATTGTAAAAGATAAGCTACACTCGTGGAAGTAAAGCTACGTACACAAAGCCGGTTTTTTGTTCAACCCAGCGGGTCTGAACAAAAAAAACAAAAACCCCCCCCCCCCAAAAAACTGAAGAGCTCGGGAGGAGCTCCATGTACTAAATATCCGATGTTAGTACTGCAATGTCCATGCTGAGCTATGGTGTTCTGACAGGGGAACTTCCCCCCGCCTGCCCACCCCGCCCAGAACACACCTGTCAGCGCTGACAGTCATTGGCTGCCAGCACTGATGAGATACCGGTTTTCCAGCATTCCCATTCGACAGAAGACAGTCATTCAGCCAGACTGTCTCGGACAGGCGGGTGTACACACAATATTTGGCCCATGTGTACAGGGCTTAAAAGGGGATTAATAAAGGACAACGGTAACAAGTAGTTGTCTTCTAAGCTTCTTTTGGGCCACCTTATCATAAATCACACAAGATGGTCTCTCTACTTCCAAGGAATTACATCAGATAAATGGGTTTCATAGTACAGTGATGGGGTTGAAGGGACCTAAAACAGTTGTGTGAATTGTTGCATACAGGATACTGTGTAGCTGTGACATAAATCTGCAATTTTTAAATGCAAAGCCAGCCCCCGGGAACATACAGGAATGATTTGATTGACTCCCTCCAGCTCAACCTGGCACTACACTCATCTCAAGTATAAAAAAACACATACCTTTGTAACATCCATTAGCCCTGAATCCAGCTGAACCGCAGCATCTTGAACCGAAGGATGATCTGAATATCGCCTGATTAACGTATCCTGGATCTGAAGTTGTATTCTAGCAACCTGATATCAAACAAACGGTGTGTCATAAAATGCTAATAGAAAGCTTAAAGCTACGCAGAAATGTTACCACTCAAAACAAATGAGCAGTATGACAATTAAATGGCAGATAGAATTTAGCAGGGATTAAGCACTTAAACCATGGTACCATTGCCCCTATAATTTAGCACCATTTACAGCAAAGCCGGTGAGCTGGTAAAGTTAGCTGAGAAGGAATGACACCGCATCGCAGGAACACTCAATGTCTAAAATTTAACACAACTGGGAAACAGTCAGTGATAAACTTGGTAGTAATTGCTAATGGTTAGTGCCACTAAATGCCAAGCGGCAGCTGCAAAAGTCAAGCACAATTTAAATTGTATAAATGCAAAATAAACGTACAGGGACACATCTTATATAAAGGGAGTAGAGTTCCTAAAAACACAAAGGACATGGAAAGGGAGCCATTTAAACTAACACAAAGGATGGAAGGCCTCATCTACAATGAAAAGTGGGGAAAAGATGACAAAAACTGGGTGTGTTTAGTTAAAAGGGGCAATCCCGTGGTTAAAGTTAAAGAAAGTGTCTATTTTTCAACCTCTTTCATTGGGAACTGGTCTGCAACCAACTCCTCATTTAAGCTCACCAGCTCCCTCTTCCCTTGGTCCTTTTTATTCTAGATAGATGCTGTAAATTCTACTTATGTGTTTCCCTTGACCACTAGCTGTAATACTGTTCTCATGCTTGTGACCAGTGATATCAACCACAGCAGCTAGATACACAGATATGCATCCAGGAGGATTGAGTGAGAGGGGCCTCCAAGTGCCAATAATATGTTATTTCTATTTTGTTTAAATGGAATGATAGCTTAGCAAAGCAAACTACATTGAAGTTCAATCTATCTGAATAAATACTTAATGAAACTTAGAAAGTGTCTTCCTGTCCTGCTTTCTGCTAAAGAGAAGTGGCAAGGCTTTTGTAATGTGATTTATGCCTCTCACACACTGGGCATTTTAAAAACACCAATTTTTCTGTGCTTTTGCATTAGCGTTCAGCCACATTAAATGGGTTTTAGCTTTTTTCAGCACAAAAAAAAAACCCAAAAAAAAAAAAAACAAAAAAAAAAAAATTGTTCAAAAACGCTGGTTTGCCTCGTTTACCAGCATTAGAGCGTTTTTACAGGTAAAAAACATCTCTAGAAACCCTCTAGTTTTTTTTTCCCTGACAAAAACCACTGATTAAAGCCTATGTGTGCTTGGACACATAGGATAACATGCTGGAAGTTTACTGGCTGTAGAAAACAAAAAAAAAAAAAAACAAAAAAAAAAAACAAAAAACACACCATAAGCTAAAAACAGTAGCTTTAAAAACGCCCAGTGTGCATGAGGCCTTAAATTTATCATTCTTTGCACATCAATGCTGTTATCTGTGCTATCTAAAGCAGTATTAGAACCAAAAGATTTTGTACTCACTGTAAAATCCTTTTCTCCGAGTTCATTGAAAAACACAGCTTAACTGCTCACGGATGGGTTTGATGCCACCACCTTCAGGAGCAGGGCGCTAATGTAACTTAAATTAAACACACCTAAGAGCGGCCCTCTGGTGGTGGCCAAACCTCTCATTCTGCAATCCAGGATCCAGTTAGTAGCCATCAGTATGAAGATGACAACACCAAAACAAGACTGGAAAGGGGTGCTGTGCCCTTCAATGAACTCATTGGAATTTGACTTTAATTTGTTAGTCAAGTTCATCTAAATCTGCCAAGCATCTAATAACCTCTCCACAGGTTAACAATGCTGAAGCCCAAAAGGTGCCTTGTCACTCCTCTATAGAGTGGAACCATCCTAGGACAAGTATTTTACTGGCCAGAATGGCATGTGAAAAAGAAAAAAAAAAAAAAAAAAAAAAAAAAATTAGAATGATTGCATGCAAGGACCGATATAAAACTGCTAAATATTACATTTTTATATTTGGTTTAATAGTTTTATAGGAAAGTTTCAATGTGCCAATTTAACCAATGCACACATGGAATCTCTGCTGGAGATACTGAATCATTTTTAGATCAGTCTGTTGGTATGGTAATGTACTCCAGCAAAAGACAGTACCAAATCTAAATCTAAAGGAGATGGGGATCAGAGATTTAGACAAGCGTAGAGAACTGTCAAAAAAACACCCTATGTAACTTCTCAATATCTGATGCTTAATAGATCTAGATAAGAATCCATATAATCCACACGTTTGTCCTTATCTTAAGACTACATGCCAAGTTAAGAGAGATTTGTACAGAAATCTCTCTAAAAAAGGGCACATAAATGATCAGATGCATGAATGAGATATAACGCAACGATTGGAAAGTCTTAAAGTAGAACTATAGGCACAATGTTTTTTTCCCCCATTTTGGGTAGTGAAAGGAAGGGTTATACCCAGTCAGATTTTTTTTTTTTTTCCCCACTATCTGTGTCACATTGAGGAGATGTCCCTTCCCTTCCTATCCCATAGCCAAACAGGAAGTGAATCCCTACAAATTAAGGGTACTCCTTGGGGACCCCCAGGGCACGAGAATTAGTATCCCCCATTGGAAGATTTCCCCTCTATTACTTTTCAGGGGACAACTCAAAATTTGGGGTCTTTTTTTATTTTCATTTTATGAATTTTATTTAGTAGTATGCGACAGTAACAATGAAATGCCACGAAAAAGTGGCTTCACCAATCATATAAAATACACAGAACTGTGTGACATCAAAAAAGTAAATACTGAGCCATCTGTACATAGACAGAACACCTTACATGCTCTCCCATACAGTCTGTAGGGAGTCAAAAATTATTTTCATTTTTAATAATGGTAAACAGGACAAATAGAGAGGGCGAATCTCTATAACGGGGGCACAGACCGCAATAAAATCTGACTAGCGTTCTAATCCCTCTGCAATTTATTCAAAACAAAAAACGTAAAAGAAAAAAGTTTTGCCTTTAATTACACTTTAATCTGCTATAAGCCGACTGGAAAGTTAGCTATGCTACAATGTTTATGTACTTCAACATAAATTTTGTGGACACATTGGGGTGGATTTACTAAAAGGAAAAGACTGCGTAGTTGCACCTATTTTCCCCAGAGCTTAGTGAATGTGGTGAAGCTCTGCCGATTTCCATCATCCAATCATGTGCAAGCAAAAATGCCGTTTTGTTCCCCCCTTACACCCGACTAGGTATTCTTTACAAAATGAAGTTTCACCACATTCACTAAGCTCTGGGGAAAAGGAATGCAACTGGACTTGCAAAGTGTACAGTCTTTTGCCTTTAGTAAGTCCACCCCATTGCGTAGACTGGCTGATTACCAACAGCTAATAAATTGCGACTCTCTGCACTGAGAAAGGATTGTAGAAGTGCTGACAGGTTTATGTTGATTTATTTCTCTGTCAGATATTGACATAGAATAAAAAAATATTATATATGTGATTTATACAAACATTACCTCCATTTTTTCTTCCAACTCATGCAGGAACTCTCCATCAGCAGGCAGAGAAGACATTCCAGTAGAACTTTTGGCACTAAGGATGGCTCTAGACAGGTACTCAATCCTCTGCTTTAGTGAAATGTCTGTGCTGGGAGGAGACAAACATATAACTAGGAGTTTACAATAAAACAGTACAAAGTACAGGGTTCATATTCACAGTACAGTATATTATCCAATCAAATTATTGTGTAACTAATCCAAAATGAGAAAAGAAAAGTTTTGGCATTGGGTACCTAAGAGATGTACTCTCCCAAATGACTTGTTGGCTATAACCGTATACAACTAGGTACTTAGGCTGCAAGTAAACCAGGCTATTTTCCAGAAGTGTTCATGTTCTGGGCACTCATTACTTCCAGGACACCAGGAATATTGCTGTACATAACCTTTCTAGCTACTCAGCTGGACACAGGGCCCATGCCCAACACAATACATCTGCATACATCTACTCAGTGTTAAAAACGGTTCCTAGCAACTCCCGCATTTCATAATGTGCTTCGTTTATGGCACGCAAGTCAGAGAGCATACTGTCGTGAAGGAGTCCACGTGAAGGGAAAAAAAAAAAAAAATCAGGTCTTTTCCTACTAGTGAGATATGTGTTCTAAGTATTTCAAATACTGAAAGTATAAATGGGGGTGTGGCGAGCAGGTCATGTAGCAGAATGTGCTTTTAAGCTACTCCGCCAGAGATCCTTTTAAATCTCCTGAAAGCATGGTCACCTCCGCTTCTACCTGCTCCTGTGATGCCCGGACTGTCTCCTCACTTGACCCACTTCCCTGGATTCCTGATTTAGGGTGGCTAGATGACAGCAAAATGAGGGAAAGACCCCAGGGCTGCACTCGACTCAGGGAGACCAGATGGCGACCTCCAGCTCCGAAAACGAGAAGCAGAAGGAAGCGGCTCTTCGGTGAAACCCCTGCTAAAGATCCTTCTACTCCTGCCATTCTTTCCACTGCCAACGCTGCTGAGGTAGACCCTGGACATGCGGAGTGCTTTCTCCCCCAGCCTACAGCTACTGAGTACTGAGAAAAAAATCAGGTCTTTTCCTACTAGTGAGATATGTGTTCTAAGTATTTCAAATACTGAAAGTATAAATGGGGGTGTGGCGAGCAGGTCATGTAGCAGAATGTGCTTTTAAGCTACTCCGCCAGAGATCCTTTTAAATCTCCTGAAAGCATGGTCACCTCCGCTTCTACCTGCTCCTGTGATGCCCGGACTGTCTCCTCACTTGACCCACTTCCTGGATTCCTGATTTAGGGTGGCTAGATGACAGCAAAATGAGGGAAAGACCCCAGGGCTGCACTCGACTCAGGGAGACCAGATGGCGACCTCCAGCTCCGAAAACGAGAAGCAGAAGGAAGCGGCTCTTCGGTGAAACCCCTGCTAAAGATCCTTCTACTCCTGCCATTCTTTCCACTGCCAACGCTGCTGAGGTAGACCCTGGACATGCGGAGTGCTTTCTCCCCCAGCCTACAGCTACTGAGTACTGAGATACTGAGTACACTGCCTAATGATGCAGACATGACACCTTCCACCATGTCTACTGCTAATAATCCTTCCCTAAAGGAGATTCTCTCTGCAGTCACTACATGTAAGTCCTTGATAGCTGATCTGACGGGGGAGGTTAAGAACATGAAACAAGAACTTTCTCTGGTGCGGCAAGACAGGAAGAAACTGCAGGATCACGCTACCAGTCTAGAGGGCAGGTTGAGCAACCTAGAAGATGAATGGTAACCACTGCAAAGTTATTTTCATTATGTACAGCCTGTCTCTACTGCCAATGCCGCTAGATTGGAGGATCTGGAAAACTGACCGCGCAGAAATAACACGAGGGCAGTTAGAATACCTGAGTGTGCTGAAAAAGGAGTGCTAGAAGGCTTCATTCACACAACCATACAAAAAAATGCATATATAAGCGTTTTAAAATTACAGCTGCATGGTTTTCACCATTCACACAGGTGCGCAAACATGAGTGGCTTTCAGATCCGGAACACAGAATTTAAAAATTGACGTCCAAGAACATGCAATTTATGCGCTTAAGCCTATAAAGGCATGTATATGCCTTTGTATGCGCATAAATTAAGTCTAAACAAAGGTGAAAAAAATTACCATAAAAAACAAGTTGTGTACGCATAAACGTTTTTACATGTTTAAAATTCTCTATATTACAAGAATTTTACTGATCATTACACAAGAACTTTTCTCCTACAAAACATGTGTAATAACATCAGAAAATTTTTTTTTATGGCCACAATGAATGAAGCCTTAACGTTTTTTTGATCTGTTTTGACAAAGGGCAATGAAAGCAAAATAAAGACAGGAATTTGATCTTGGATATAGCAATGTCTACCTGGGCATGTCTGCCAGTCTGGCAACAACTCTTGCTGCACTGCTAAAAATTGCGGTTCTTCTCATAGTATTTCCACTGAAGATCCATATAGCGCACTTTATTTTGATCAAGCTTGGCCATGCGCACAAGATGAGGCTCCAAAAATGGAGAGTTTAGCTGTAGGACACATAACAATCAAAAAAAACGTCTGATACTTGTTGAGATTCAAACAGAAAAACAAACAAACATACTCCAGAATTCAGTGTAGGAGGAAAAATGGTTAAAAGCAACACTCACCTCAAGGAGCTTGTCTGTGAGATCTGCCTGTATCAGCCAATTAAACAGAGCAATGTTGAAGAGTTCGTCCGTTGAGCGTTGGGCCAGTTTCAACATTTGTTCAAACTAAAATGAAAGAAGGTTATAATGTTGTGATTTTAGATTACTGGATGCAAAATATTTCAACACTGAAAAGAGTGAACCTCTGCTTAAACCACTTACTGACCGACCTTTGTATATTCCTGTCAGCCAGTGGTTATTACAAGATGATGGCTACAGCCAAAGTCTATTTTTCAGCTGGTGATTGGCTGTGTTTTAATGGCTTTACAGCCATTCAATCACTTTTACAGTGTGGGGGAAGAGACCCCCCTCCTGTTCTGCCACCAGGGAACAGAGCCTAGAATCACAGTAAGCGGCTTCTCTTAGAGGAAATATCTCTTACCCAATCTCGTCTGGGGTGAATGAACCCAGAGGTGACGATTACTTAGCCACTTCCGGTTTCAGAACTATCATTAACTGGTGGCCTACAGCTAACCAGGCATGATTTGTGCTTAGGTGCTTTGGCGGGTAGGGAAGACATCAGGGGTATAATAGATCCCTGATGTTTCCATAAAGAGGGTATGTGACTGGGCAAAGCTATCACATAGGGGCTGGTTAGCCCCATTGTGATAGCAATAAAGATAAATAAAAGAAAAAAAATAAATTTAAATAAATTTTTTTTTTTAAATTTAAAAGGCAATCCCACCCCCCCATACATACACACGCAAAATTTCAATGCATGCATAGGTCCAGCATGTTGATGTAAACCGTGATTGCACCACATATGAATCACCACGAACATCAGAGCGAAAGCAATAATTCTAGGGCCATAATTCACAAATACCTTTATAATGATAACCTGTAAAAGCTTTTAAATGCTTTTAAAGAATCACAATTTAGATACAGTAGTTTACCACCATTTCACAGGCATGCAGATTTTTAAATCTTGCATGCTTGTCATTAATTTACTTGACACAACTTTAATATATTTCTCCAAAAAAATTTGGTATATTGTGTTTGTGTGCACTAAAATTCACTTCTTTTTTCTGAAAATCTGCATATGATAATCAGCTCCGCAAATATCATTCAACATAAAAAATTTCAACAGCCATTTTATTCCCCAGGGCCTCTTCTTTCAGAAAATATACAATGTATGGTAGTTACAAGTAATTTTCTAGCAAAAATGCTGATTTTAAAATTTAAAAAAATTGGCCTGTGTAGCAAGTGGTTTAGAAAAAAATGAAACACACACAAACTAAAGACGAACGACTTGTGTGTAACTGGCCATTAACAAGAATGTTCAGGACACGCTTCCATTATGCCAAATTTGGTGGTTTTGTTGAGTGCACTAGAAAACACCTCAACAGAATATGCATTATAAAAGGTCTATTAAGCTGCTTTGCACTGTACTTGGAGGCTGTGACAGCCAAGAGTAGCTAGCCCAGTGAAAAAGCATGCACAGTGTACTGCTTGATGAGCAGGTCTATGTACAATACATCACAGAGAGTGAACAATAAATAAATGTCTCACATGAAGTCCAGCCTCTCCTCGTTACTGAGCATGTTGGGATCTGAAGAGAGCACAGGAGGACCCGGCTTTTTGGGTACACTTGGAGACTGGGGGGCTGCTTTACTCTGGTTCACCAGTTCTTGAAGAGTATCTGTGATGCACTTGTAGCAGTTTAATCTGTAGGAAGCACACAAATAGTTTAAAATGTTTCCAGTTATCAAAAGAAACCAAAGACAGTACAATATAAATTACTTCCCATCCAAAGTTCTATTCTCAAATACTACCAATGTAAAGATACAGTATATAAATAGTAGGGGCAATATACAAAAGTGTACTCCTAAATCCCATTAGTTAAAGTGATACTAAAGTCTTTTTTTTTTTTTTTTTTTTTTAACAACAAACATGTCTTACTTACCTGCTCTCTGCAGTGGTTTTGCAAAGAGCAGCCCGGATTCTGCTCTTCTTGGATCACCTGCCAGTGCTCCTGGCTCCTCCCTCCTGTCGGGTGTCCCCACAGCAAGAAGAAGCTTGCTATGGGGGCAACCAACCACTGATGCTCCTGAGCTGCGGCTCTGACTGTCCATCCACACACAGGACAGCGGCTCGGCTCTGTCGCCTCCCTCTCCTGATTGGCTCATTGACTGTGGTTGACAGCAGCAATAGAAAATGACTCCCGCTGCTGCCTCAGCAAATCAGGAGTCCCCGGAGAACTGAGGCACTTTTGGACATCGCTGGATTGGGATGGGGCTCAGGTAACTGTTGAGGGCTGCTACACACAGAAGTTTTTTTTTTTTACCTTCATGCATAGAATCCTTGAAGGTAAAAATCCTTGAGCCTTTAAAACCACTTTAACCCTTGGATGGTAGTAGAATCTAAAAATGTATTTTATTTATTATAGGTACTTATATAACGCCATCAATTTATGCAGTGATAAAATTCAATAATAAAACAAATAGGAGACCAATTTTAATAGAGAATATGAAGAAAATATCTCATTTTACAAGCCACCGATTTTATTAAACAAAATTAAAAGTCGTTGTAAAGGCTAAAGGTTTTTTTTTTTTTAACCTTTAATGCATTATCTGCATTTAAAGTGGTTGCCTTACTTGGTTTACCCTGCTCCCTTCAACATGCATTTTTTAAATGAAGCTTTTTCATTATGTGCCTTCAAACCAACTGATGTCACCACCAGGTCATCACAAAGGCTGTACAGTTCCAGGTAATGATGCACAGTGAAAACTCAAGAATAAGAAGGAAAGCAAGTATTTTAACAGGCGGGCTGCACTCAGGAGGGTGGAGGTGGGGGTTTACTTAAAGGACAAACTTAAAGCAGAGCTAAAGATAAAAAATACTTACCTAAGTTCCAATGGTACGTCTGAAGTCCACTGCCAGTATCTTCTCATCTGCCTCTTCTCAGTGCTGGTCTTCAACTGTCTTGATTGGTCGGTGCCAAGAGACGCCAGTCCTGCGTATGCGTAGTCATCTTGGCACCCAGGTAGTGTGCTGGAATGTAAACTGTGCTGCACATACAGCTCAGTTCACCATGTGCAGCACCACTGCATCTACAGATGAAAGAGACTAAGATGGCAGCTTCCTTGGGTGTAAAGAATAGGTGGATTGAATTTCACTTTAACTACAAGTGAAGCTGTCCAAAAAAAAAAAAAAAAAAAAAATCCCCCACAAGCTAAATGTGCTGTGCTGGTGGTGTATGCTCTCTGCTTTAAACATCTCGCAGTCAATATATACCTTTCCTGATAGGCTTGTAAACCAGCTGCATCCTCTTCTGGCTCTCCATTCTTGTGGAAGTGTAGCCCAAGGCCCTGGGGATCTTTCTTCTCAGCAGCCGTGAGACAGAGCTCCACAACACCCTCATAGAACCGCACTGCAAAAGAGAAACAAAGCCTGATTTTCTCTCTCTTTCTTCCTTCCAAGATACTGGAGGATGAACACATCTCCTCCACCAACAGTAGTATACCTATATTACTGAAATAGTACAGCTGTCTTTATGATCCACAGAGACCCATGCATGTACACAGTGGGGAAAGCACACATTTTCACGTATTACTGCGCATGCACCGACTTGTCACTGATCCCATCAAATATGGTGGCAACGACACAGAAATGTACAGTAGAGAAGTGAAGGTACTGCTACTGGCACATATGAATGGTTTCAGCAAATCGTTGTCATAAATACCCGATCAGTATCAGTGCCAAATCGCTAGACTTCTACTGAAGGAGGACAACATAACTGTTACAAGCTGTACCTGTATGAGGTTTCCCAGGTGATGTCTACATTGGATCAGTTGGTTGGGGGTCAGGGCAGGAAGCAGTGGACTGTGCCTCACCACTCAGCAGTATTTACGGCATCGGGGGGGCAGGAATCGGGGAGTGAGAATAGGTGGGCATAAGGGCTGGGACAACATTGCCAACCCCCTCTTGCCCCCACCCGACAACCACCCACATCCCCACAATGCTAAAACATACACCCCTCCCACTCAACCTTGCTATGTATAGTGTGTGCAAACAAAATAAAAAAATCTGTGTTTTCATTTACCAGGTCTCTGCAAACGAATACAGGCCACATTAACAAACTTTCAATGTTACATGGAAACATAGAAAAGTGATGGCAGAAAAAGACATGTGGTCCATCAAGTCTGCCAGGTTTTTTTTTTTTTTTTTTTTTGGGGGGGGGGGGGGGGGGGGGGGGGTTCTGGTTAACTTTGCTGAAGTATAGATCTACGCTTCTCCCAAGCATGTTTGAAGCTGTGTACCATTGACTGGCTCACTACCTCTGCTGGAAGTTTATTCCAAGCATCAACTACTCGTATTCTTGATTTTGGTTTCATGTTGAAAATACTGTCCTCCTGAACCTTATTCAATCATGGTTTCAGTCATGTCTCCCCTTTCCCTTTTTTCTCTCCAGACTGTACATGTTAAGTTCCTGAAGTCGCTCTTGATATGTTTTATCCCGCAGACTTTTCACCATTTTTATTCCCCATCTCTGGACTCGTTCTATCTTATCATTATCTTTTTGTAAGTGAGGTCTCCAGAACTGGACACAGTATTCTAAATGAGGTCCAACTAAAAATCTATATAGAGGAATCCAGGACCTCCTTCCTCCTGCTTGTGACCCCTCTAGTGATAACTAAAGATCTATATAGAGGAATCAGGACCTCCTTCCTCCTTCTGGTGACCCCTCTAGTGATGCATCCTAGAATTCTGTTCGCTTTTCCCACTGCCTGGCCACACTGTTTGCTCATTTTGCAATCATCTGAAATAAGTACCCCCAAGTCCTTTTCCACTGAAGTGCTGGCCAACACTGTACTCCTAATGTATTCTCTCAATGGATTTGTTTTCCCAAGGGGCATTATTTTACATTTAGAAACACTGAACTGCAATTTCCACTTTTTTGACCAATCTTCCAGCAATGCCATACCACCTTCCATACACCTCCAGGGATATCAACCCTATTGCACACCTTTGTGTCATCAGCAAAAAAAAAAACAAAACAAAAAAAAAAAAAAACATACCTTACCCAACAAACCTATAGTTATATAACTTCTGTTAAGATGTTTGCATGTTAAACAGAAACTATACCTTGCCTATACTGGACGCAGACGTTCACCAAATCAACCTGCTGACTGATCTTCTGGTATTCCCGTAATGATTCTTGCAGCATTCGCTCTTTCTCATATTTGCTTTGTGCCTGGCGGGACCTTTGCAGAAGCTCATTTGCCTGATGTATAAAACAAAGGCCATTTAATGAAGACAATATTTCAACCCATCAAGAAAATTAAACACTGAAACAGAAAATTTAAAACACTGAATTGTCAGTATACATGAGGATAGCAATACTTGTCCATTATATACATATGTGTTTTCCAGCTCAGAATTGTTAAACAGTGACATACTGATTTATTTGGATAATGATGCTGAAAGCTTTAATTAGATTTAATCAGCTACTAGAGGAAGTATACATAAATTAGTTACAAAAGAAAAACCGTCACATAAAGGAATGCAACAGCAAGTGATTAAGCTTAGTTAAATGCTACATTAACTCAGGTTGAGCAAACAGTAAAACACTTCTTACAGCATTCATTGGGGTTGATTTACTAAAGGAGTTAAGAATATTCCCTCAACTTGCAGCTGTGTTCACTTTATAAACCCAACTGTGAAGAGTAAAAGAACAAACAGGAATTTGCTTTTCACATAAAAGCAAAACTGAATTGAATTTTCACTCAAATTATTGTCAGAAGTTCTTTGGCTCCATTAATAAATCATCCTAAAATGTGTATATCTCTGTAAAGTTGTATTTACTGGTCTTGTACCTTGGAGCATATGGCATCATCAGGGCTGTACAGCAAAGGGCACACTTCTTGCAGGTGAGAGAGCTGATTCCATCCACAGCAGCATTGTCCCTGATGTAACAATTGATAAGTGATGCAATAAGAGCGCCAATTAACTCCTTGTCTCTGATTACAAGATCTTTAAAGGTGGTGATCTTCAACTGCTCTTGTAGCTCCTGGTATATGAAAGGAAGATTAGTTATGGCATCTTGAAAAATAACTAGTAGTTAGACAGGAGTTCATAATACAAACTGTATAACTATGCACTGACTAAAGGCCCCTTTAACTGTACTGTGGTATGCTGTGTTACCAAATGCATTTTAAAACTTGTTGCACAAAGGTAGCCCATTCATTTTGATTGGGTTGCCAATCCACCTCAGACTGGACCCTATTCTGGAAATGCGACGCATCAGAATGCACAGTAGTGCATTACAATGAGCTGCAATGCAAGTCTGTTGCTTTAGTACATTGGGGTACCTTTTAAAATAAATGGCACTGCAAAGCACTAATGCATGCATGGTGTGGTACCATGCCCAGCTAGATCATGTGCACTACAGCAATGCAAAAGGTGTGAAGCCAGCAAATCTAACTTAGAAACAAAAATGCAATATAGATTGTCCCATGGTGACAACAATCACCCACTATAGTGTATCTATGGAGAGAGGACTAACCTTCTGTAGCTCTGCTGCTATATAGTTAAACTGATGTTCACAGAGCAGTTTCCAGAGTGCTAAGGCTTGACACGTTTTCCTGACCAACTGGTGGATCCCTTGGAGAGATATCTTTTCTGCAAGCTGGGCTTCACCTGAAAAAAAAAAAAACAAAAAAATAAAATAACAAAAAACACATGTGGTTAATTCAACAACTCACCATTGCACCCAGAGCTCTAGTCAGACAGTGTAGCCTCATATCACAGCACTATTTACTATGCAATTGTTCTAGTCAGTTTGTTGCCTGTTAGCAGTGCTGGGATGAGATCATACAGTGCTGTGTGTGAAGATGACAAACTGCGCCCCCCCGCGTGCACAAAGTTGACCTCAGTCTCAACATGGCACCTTCTGAGAATACAGACAGCGTCTCCATCTTCCCTTCTCTGGTAATGTGAAATGTCATGTCACATAAAAAGGGGAGACATGAAGAAGGCCAGTCTGCCCTCACTACTCAGTGCTCAGTGGCTTTGTGCAGACACTGAAGTGTGTTCTCAGCTGTCGACTGCACTCTCCTGCCCAAAGTAGGTTACTGCTGGAGAGTGCAGAGTCCTCCCTCCAGCAGCTAAAGGGGCCCCTGCTCCTTCTGACAGGAGTGACACTGCAGTTACTCCTCTCACCAAGGGAGCTGCTTGGTGTGTGAAAGACCTGGGGCATCCACAGGCACACTGAGTGGCACAAGGATGCAGAGTGCAGTGTGGTAGATGTTGCCAAATTGTTGTAACAGTGGAAGAGCTCTGCGCATCTCTGAGGAAGAGGGTGCGCCCCTGAAACACGTCAGCTTGCCTGTTTAGCAGGGTGTTGTTGGAGCATTTGTAACCTGCACTACACAGTATCTTCGGATTTACATGTCTCTATTTGCTGTATCTTTGTGAGTACCCATTTGTATCGGTTTTATATTTTTCCAATAAATTTTGTGGTAATGCACTAGGTGTTTGCACCTTCCCCATTTGATTTTTGTAGTTATACATTGGATTCCCCTGAGGAGGGCTGCATTCACCAAACATTTGGGATGGTCTCGAATATATGGTCTGTCAAACCTTCTCTCTCTGTGGAGGACCTTTGAGTGCTGGGAGAAACTGCTTTTTCTTGTGTTCAACAGTGGAAGAGCCTTAAAGGAGTATATCAAATCGTACTCTTCTCTGGGTAGCACAAAGTGCAGGGGTCCGGAGTGCAGACTAGCACACTTAAAAAGAATAAACTGTAAGCACCAACAATGCAGGAATCCTTAATTTCACTAAAAAGGCAAGTAAAAATAAAAACATACAAAGTCTGTGCCATCTTCATAAAATAATCCCTTGGTGCTGTATTAAAACTACAAATGATAGCGACTACATAAAAAAATAAATTGATAAAAAATTAAAATTAGGGTGATAACAATGGGTGTTACTTGGAGAGTGCAAAGTCTGGTACAGCTCTGCACAGAAACCAATCAGCTTCGAGGTTTTATTGTCATAGCTTAACTGAACAAACTGAAGTTAGAAGCTGATTGGCTACCATACGCAGGGGCACCGAATTCTGAGAGCATCTGTTTTAGTAAATCTCCCCCAATGTGTTTTAACACACACATTCGATCTCTCCATCTATCTATATCTATCTCTTAAAAAAAAAAAAAAAAAATGCCCCGAACTAAGGGCTCGTTCACACGCAAGATAACACTAGGCGGTTGAGCCACGGTTTTAACCCCCCCCCCCACCTCCTCAAGACAGCACTACTGAACACTAAAGATACAGCCACTCTTGGCTATACACATGCCAAGACTGCCATGATGTAATAACAGGATTGCTACTTACTGTGGTATTTTCTTTGCAGCTCCTGGTGGACTTGCTGAGAGCTACCCATATCATGACGGCCAAGGCCAACCAGCCTCTGCTGGATGTTCACTGGAGTTCCAAAGCTTTAAAAATTGTAATATTTAGTTTCTTACATTATAAAACTCTAAATTTCTAAATTTGCCAATACATACATTCAATACCTCTTGCATCTTACCTTGGGTTGCCTAGGGAGCCTACAGCAAATTGTGAGTTTCTATCCAAAAATTCCAACAGACCTTTAAGCTCCTGAAGAACAGATTCTAAAACTTGCGGGGAGACACTACTATCGATCTGCAAGACAAAAGAGACTGTAGAAACTTTCCTAGTTGATGAAAATTATTTTACCCAAATAAACAATGGAAGTAGACATAGCATCTCTGTGACATGAGAAGATGAAATGTGCAAGTGCTGGCCAAATTTCAGACCCTTGGGGGCAGTTTGTGGTCCACGTAATTTAAAACATTTTTATGGAGATGTCATGAAGCTGTGTGTAAAGTGTACAGTAAAACTTAATTAGATATTACATGATTAAAAAGAAATCTGTCAGAAAAAAAAAAAATGCAAGAGCTGTCAATGTGGACTTTTCTTTTAAGATCAATCTGCAAGCAGTCTTCTTGGTCTTTTCCCGCAACACAAAAAAATGGTGGTGTACCATGTGCGCTGCCACTTATCTGGTGTGACATTCCCTAAGAGAATGAGGAAAAGGGGAGAAATATTCTGCAGAAAGAGGGGCACTTGGCAGCTATGATACAAGAGCTCACCGACTAGTAAAGGAAGAATATGGGAGACTGTCTCAGAGTCAATACTTTAAAAAACAAAAACAAAAAAAACAAAACAAAAAAAAAACTAGTTACTAATGGCAGCTCCCATATTTATATCCTGGCAGGTACCTGTGAATAAAAGGTTTGAAATTCAAACAGAAAAAGGCTACAGCAAAAATCTAGCGATTATGATTTTCTTGGGTAAACACAGAGTCCAGAAAAATGATGGCATCCACAGGTCACTGTACTTTTAGGAATAGATAAAATCTGTGATAAGCCATGTAACACTCACTGACTAGAGAATAATACGATTCAGGCAGAATTTTCTTAGAACAAAATCTTAAACACTGCAAAAACCTACCGCTATGACATCTCTGTTGCCAACCTTGAAGATTTTCTCAATAGCCACACTTCCATCCCAAATGTTACTGTAAATGAGGAAATTAGGGAAACATAAGCATATTGCGGGTATTGAAAGAGAAATGTTAAAATCACCACTATATGCTGTTGTGCTGTAATACACAGAGGGGAATTTACCAAGATTGGAGTGGTCAAGCTTTGGAGAAAGCTGTGTATGCAATCATACACTATTTTCCAGAATTTAAGTGGAAGTAAAGTCCACTTTGTAAGTTGAATCCTACAGGCAAGCCTATAATAAGGCTAACCTGTAGATGCAGTGATTATCTCCCAAACATGCACAGCTTAGGAGATATTCAAACAGCATGCAGCCGGTGATGTCACTGGTGCATGCACTCTGAAGGGACACAGCACAGCATGCCAAACCTTCAGAGCTCCATGCCAGAGCCAAGTTGATAATTAATGTTGTTCAACAAAATTAATAATTATGCTACCAAAATTAGTGTGTGCTATAAATTGCCTCTAGCACTGCTCCTATTTCTTCTTGCTAGAAGCCGCCATTTTGTTGAAGTCCAGACCAGTCACTTCCTTATTGGAAACTCTCCTCCATTCCTTGGTCTTACAAAATACATGTCACTTTCTAGAATTACGTGTGCATTTCCAGCCTGGATGTCCAAGCCTGGATGCAGCTAGCTGCGTCCAGGCTTGGACATCTGTCTCTAAGCATAGCTAGCCGTTCGCTGTGTGACTGCATGCAAACAGCAGTGGCAAGCTGCCAGCCCAACATTAGTTTAAATGGGCTGAGCGTGACCCGGTCATTCCAGCAGTAATAATCTGCCAATTCTTGCCATAGGAATCCAGGCGACCGCATGTAACCAGCTGTGTGAAGGAGGCCGAAGTTCAGAGGCTGCCTGATAAGAAACTCAATCGACTTCAGTACAACCAGCCTGTCAGGGTTCTTTTCATTACATCACTGGCGGCAGATATAGTTGTCAGCAGTGATCATTGTATTCTGATGGCTGGGAAAACTCTAGCTGTCGGAATACAATAGCTCAGCAGGAGGGTTCATGTCAGTGCTGATAAGGGAAATCCAGCAATTTTGATTGTTGGCACAGCGAGGAGACTACAGGACAAGTGAGCAGGGTGAGACAGTACATTACTGGATTTTAAACAGTCTATCTAATCTATCAGGGCTTCACTTTCTCAATCAACATTGACTATTTTAAATCCTTATGCTTCTAGCATTAGTAAATAGAAAGGACAATATATATGCTTGTTTTAAAGGATAAGTTCACCTTTGGAATGTTATATGTTCCACCCGTTTTTATGGTAGAACATGTAACATAGTTGCACCCACTGCCCCCCTCTCCCTCTCACAGATAGTATGGGGAGACATTTCCCGTACTATCTATCAAATTTGAAAACAGCGCGGCCATGTGGGGTGCCGCCCACATGCCCGAGCCGATCATTCAGAGTTTTTCGAATGAGTGCCTACAAGTCCCGGCAGCCTTAGCGGATGTCGGCTTGTAGTTCTCATGAACTGAGTTCACTGAAGCTTTCTGTCAGTATATCTGCTTAACAGTATATCCCATACGGCAAGCAGATATTCTGACAGGTCTGCAGGAGACCTGCATGGCATCAGCGATCTACTGGTCACTAGTGTAATGCTTTACAGGCTCCTTTGGACAAAAATAATAAATTAACATTTATTATTTTTGTTCAAAATGTGAACTTATCCTTTAAACTTTTTTTTAATTTCTTCATTTACATCCTGGTTTCCCTTCTTAGGCAAATGATGTTCTACATCCCAGGAGTCTTCAGGAGGGGTTTTCTCAACCAAAAACACTCTCCTGCCTGTATGGCTGAGCTAAGGGCAGATGGATTCCAGAAAGTAATTGCTACATGAATCATATGCTCTTACTCAAAGATGGTCATGGTCGGAAATGCTGGGGGGTGTTTTTCAAAGTAACTTCTCACCAATATAAAGCACTGAGACACTGATAGAGGGTTGTGTTTGCTTTGAATATTAAAAATGAACTAAAATAGCATTTTTGGTTTTGTGGTGCTCAGATGCAGTGTAGTTCTGCTTTAATTTTCTGACTAAAGTTCCACTTTAACTGAACAAGTGGCTTCCAGCTCTGCCTTTCTCTGTAGTTGCAGAGATGATGCTGAATGTCCAGGCAACAACCTCCCTGGCTGATGGGATTATATTATAAAGCAATACTGGCCATACACAAGGGGTTAAAAAAAAAAAAAAAAAAAAAAAGCAATGCTGGCCATACACGCAACAACTATAAATATTTTAAAAAAAAATAGTATAATAAAACAGTGCAAAAAAAAAAAAAATCATACAAAATTAGAAAAATAAATATGAAAGTCCAAAATGTCCCAATTAAAAGTCCAGTACTCCAATATAAAAGAAAACAGTGACGAAAAGGTGTTCAGAAATTTTCCAGTGTGCTCACATCATCAGTGATAATTAATTTCGCCCGCACTCTCCAAATAAAGTGGACTCCCAAGCTGATGTAGCTTGAGAATCAAAACAGGCTTATAGGTGGGGTGTAGTCTCCATATGTGTCCCACTATGACAATTCTTGAATAACCCTGCAGCACAATCTCTCATAAATCGATGAAAATGCAAAAAAAGAGAAAAATAACAATAGTGTGATACTGCATAGAACTCCCAGAACAGATCGAATGTTCATTACACTCACATTAGATAATGTGAGTGTAATGAGGAACAATAGAGAACGCTGGAAAAGTTATGAACACCTTTTCATCACTGTTATCTTTCTATATTGGAGCACTGGACTTTTATTTGAGACTTTTTGGACTTTCATATTGATTTTTCTAATTTTGTATGATTTTTTTTTTTGCGCTGTGTTTTATTATACTAATTTTGATGTTTTTTTTCTTTGAGCAGCAACATTTATGGATTGTGTTTTGTATCATTTCCTTGGTGCTAGTTTTTGATATATTTTTTTTTAAATACTTTCACCCAAATTTGGATTGCAAAATTAGCGTCATGAACCAAAACAAACTACCACCAATAGTTTTGACACAAAGTTGGTAATAGGCTGCAGTGATTCATTTGGCTGTTCCTGTGACACGAAACTGGTTCAAACGGTCTGAAAATGAACATGTAAAGTATGTTGGCAGTATTTTCTTGTTTATGCACAAAGCTAAAAAAAAACAAAAAAACAAATGATACATTACAACTTTAATGTAATATTCCAAATCATTAACATGACAGAGTAGGTGAATATTAATTTAAGACACTCACTTCATAATGCGAGCAAAGTAGATACTAATCCCATTGTGCTTCCCTGAAAAGATAACCTCTGGACCCATTAAACCTGCCAGAGGAGCTGCAGACTGATGTGTAGGAGTTCCCATGGAATACAGCGGAGTAGAAACAGCAGGTGGATAGATACCTAAGAGACAAAGCAAAACTAGTGTTAACCCACTTCAAGATGCTATTTTAGTTTCATAGTGCCACCACCTCACTGTTCATTTGCCAGATGTGAGATTTATTCGCATTACTCACTAGGCTTAATGCAACCTTTAAAATAGTATTTAACGCTTCTTTTAAACTGTGATCTACAGGTAAAGTTATAACAAGGCTTACCTGTATGCACCTTAGAAAACCCCTAAATCTGCCATTCAGAAGATACAGTCATCCGTCATCACAGACTGTCAATTCAAGGGGCCAGAGAGAAAGAACCCGGAAGGAAGACCAGGCAAAGAAGGAAGGGTCAGCAGTGGTGAGGAGGAATACATTTCACAGGTAAGTGTTATAATGCGCTATTATGCAGTGCATACTAAACCACCTGGGGACCATTACAAAAAATAAATGCCTTTTCTAGAATCATATTTATTTTATTTATTTTTTGCATTACCCAAAATGCCACCAAAAAACACCTTAAGATGGACAGAACATCAAAACCTCCACAGTACGCAGGATAAGGAACTATAGCAGAAACGTGTTGCTGGAGGTCTACAATAAAATAAAATGGATGACTCCGGTCCCCAGACTCCTCTTGTTATAGAAAACAGTTTAAGATGGGTTGACTTTTTTTAATTTGATCAATTTTTTTATTAAATTTTAAAATGGTCATAAAAACAGTAAAACAGGCAAAAGACGCACCCAACCAGCACCCTCACCTCCTACACAGTCTGTTAACTGTAGATAAAATTTGTCAATTTTGCCTGGTCTACAAAAAAAAACAAAACAAAAAAAAAAAAAACTTGAATTCACCAACACGGATATCAGGACATTATGCCAAAATATAATACCAGTCAGGCATTATTTCAGGTAGAAGTGTCTGACCGTGGAGTTATTTTTAGAGTTTTTTCTAAAGGTGGTAGCGAACACATAGATTACAGGCACAATAGGCTAGGGTATCTAAAGCCAACCAAGGACATTAATTAGGTAGCTTGCCAATTACCAGTCAAATGCAGTGGCTGCATTTGTTTTTTTTTCTCTCTCTTACACTAATAACACTTCCTGTCCTAGGATTACATAAACCATAAATACTGTATACTGTATCCATGTAGGAGCAGCATTGTCAACCCTGGACAAGAAGCGTGTTAGGACTACAGAACACCTCTCCCCATTCTCCATAACATAAGTAAAAGTTGTTTTGTAGCTTACAGAGGATTGCGCAGGGCTAACAATGCTAAAGCCCAGTTACAATATGCCTAACCAGGCCTTTTTGTGTCATTGATGTAGTAAAGGCTTCATTCTGGCACCTCGACCATGCAGCTCATTTTTGTTCAAGTGTCATCATATTGTGCTCCTTTAAAAACAACTACACTATCTTTTTCCAGAGCAGCCTGTATTTTTCTTGTGGTTACCTATGGGTTTCCCTTTGTATCCGAACAATTCTTCTGGCAGTTGTGGCTGCAATCATTGTTGGTCTACCTGACCTTGGCATCAAGGAGATACCTAACTTTCCTCTTCTTAATAGGTGATTTAACAGTACTGATTGGCATATTCAAGGCTTTGGACACCTTTTTATGTCCTTTTCCATCTTTATAAAGTTCAATTACCTTGTTATGCAGGACTTTTGACAGTTCTTTTCTGATCCCCATGGCTCAGTATCTAGCCTAGTCGGTGCTTCCACGTAAGAGCTAACAAACTCATTGACTATTTATACACTGACACTAATTGCAATTTAAAAAGCCACAGATGTGGGACATTAACCTCTAATTGGCATTTTAACCTGTATGTGTCACCTTGTATGCCTGTAACAAGGCCAAACATTCCAGGGGATGTAAACTTTTGATCCGGGCCATTTGAGTGATTTCTGTTATCATTATGATTTAAAAAGGAGCCAAACAACTATTTGATAATAAATGGCTTCATATTATCATCATCCTCAATAACAGAGCATTTTTTGGCATGATCAGTCATATTTTCAATATCAATGCCAAAATTTCACAATTTCTGCCAGGGTATGCAAACATTTGTAATTTTTCAGGAAAGGTGGTGTAATTGATATTAAAATGTTTTAATACATCACCTATTGCCCACTATTACCAGCAAGCAACAGACCATGTGGTGCTGCTCTGTTGCTGCAGAAGGAAGCAGGGCAGAGCAGTATTCGCTCCGTCCTGCTGCAAGATGGAAAGAACAGAAAAACCAAACAATGTCACCTGGAGTTCCTGTCACACTGGGACCTTGAACAGCAACCTAAACTATGTGTCATTTTAAATAGTGATAGGTTGGAGCCAGTGGCATCCAGGTTGGGAAAAAAAAAAAAAATAGAGAGACAGAGATAAAAAAAAATTATTATATATATATATATATCTCCGAACTCCGGAAAATATAAGACACATTAAAAAGAGTGTGGCCAAAGCTTACTCGTGCTCTTCTATAACCAAAGATCAGCTTACAACAGGCATCCTGACAATAATGTGGGATCCACCCAGATGGTTCAGCCTCTGCTTAGAGCCTGAGTCAGCGGCTCATGTCACCTCCCCAGCCCGACGCTCAAGTGACCACTGGGGACCCAGAGCAGAGAGCCGCTGACTGATAGTCACCACACACTCTGCTCAGAGCAGACCGAGAACTGGTCGATCAGCGATCATGTGATCACTGATTTCTCAGGTTTAGAGCCGGCATGGGAAAGCTGCAGCATTGGACCGATGCTACAGCAGGGAGGCGAGTATGTATTTATGGGTTTTTTAAATTTTTTTTTAATATACTTCTCCTTTAAAACAATTTATGCGGCAAAATATTAAAAAAAAAAAAATCAAACTATGTAAGAAGCTGAAATTGGCTTGACACCAGCCTCATGCAATCCTTTAGAGAGCAGCAAGAGGGAAGGGAAGGATTGGGAACCATTCAGATGAGCTGGATTCAAATGTACTGTCATGAAGCAAGAAAATAAGAAGCAGCACAGGGATGACTTCATCAGTCTTTTGCTCTTTCACTGTCCAGCCAGCATGATGGGATGGTAAAAGGACACCATTGCATTTGAGTTTTAACTAAAAGTGGTGTTTGCAGTTTGGCAGGGCTGCACAAATCTCAGGACTGGATGGTCAGAAATGCAAATCCTTGAATAGCCTAAAGGGCTTCTTGAAATGGATTTTGTCTGTGTATTTAGCTGTTTGACTGAACTTCAGCTTTACATAATGCAACTCAGTAAACCATTGATAACAAATAAGTAAAATACCTTGTTGTGGTGTGCCCAGGAAGCTAGGGTTTGGCATGGGACTGCCTACAGCCATTGGTGATCCTTAAAATAAAAATACAGCCACTATTATAGAAAGGCTACAGATAATTTATACAATAAGAAACATGTAAGCAGTTTTTAATTCGATCCACTTGCATTCATGACTATACGAGTCAAAGAAAGAAGATTAGAGCAAGTTTCACTGGCATGGAGTAGGATTTCCACATAATGTATATGCCTCACTGGGATCAGTTTTTGCTAAAATTTACACAGGGATTACTAGGATTTCTTTTGCTGGTTAATACAGGGAGGTGCGTTTTTCTGTACAGGTCTACAGTATTCTCATGCATACACTAATGCAGGCCATAGACGGGGAGAAAAACGGCCAATTTTTCTTTTTAAAAAACAAAAAATCGGTCGTTCAAGCGGCCGACGTTACCAGCAATGGTAAAAAAAAAAAAAAAAAAAAAAAAAAAAAAAAAAAAAAAAAAAAAAAAAAAAAAAATCGGTCGATTTTCATCCCATCTACAGCCGGCAAAAAGTGTCCCTGCAGAGAGCTCCACTATTTTTTTGACAGTTCCTTGACATTTACAGAGGTTGCAACATTGTATCTATTTGTATCCATTTAGGATACAGATGTTTTTATTCAGAAACAAATAGATACAATGTTGCAACCGCTGTAAATGTCAAGGAACTGTCAAAGAAATAGCGGAGCTCTCTGCAGGGACACTTTTTGCCGGACTGCAATTCCTCTTATTTTTCATCCTTCTCCTTCTTCATCATCATCCTATTCTTCATCATCATCATCCTCTTCTTCTTCTTCTTCATCATCCTCTTCTTCATCATCATCATCCTCTTCTTCATCTTCCTCATCCTCTTCTTCTTCTTCATCCTCTTCTTCTTCTTCATCCTCTTCTTCTTCTTCATCCTCTTCTTCTTCTTCATCCTCTTCTTCTTCTTCATCCTCTTCTTCTTCTTCATCCTCTTCTTCTTGTCTTCCTCTTGCAGGTCACTGCTCATGCGCAGATTTTTTATCGGTAAAAAATCGGCCGATTTGCCCATCATTGCCGCGAAAATCGGCCGATCGGCAAAATCGGCCGATTTTTTTTTCCAACATTACCGATAAAAAAAAATTTGCCAAAATACCGAAAAACGGCCGAACAAATAGCCCACTAACGATCCGAAAATCGGCCGATTTTATTTTCGGCCGAAAAATCGGCCGATTTTCGACCCATCTATGGCCTGCATAAGTCTGTATAACTTAAAGGGTAGCAGTAAAAATAACCATTACAAATGCAGAATTCTTTTTCTTCTTTCAGTTTAACTCTAGTCCAGGAAGACCAAGGCGAAGAAACAACCAGAAGCAGGTGTGAGGTTTACTTTGAAAAGTAAGACATGCAAATACCAAATCCCTTTTGCCTTGCTAGCACATACCAGGATTTTGGATATGACTGGAACCGTCATTGATTCAGAAGATGATAGAATTGTATGCTAGTGAGCAGCAGGAAAAGGAATCTGTCCTCTGTGGAAGTAAAGCAACCCATAGGAGGAGTAATTTTTTTCATTCAACCAGCTGAAGTTGGAAAAAAAAAAAAAAACAAAAAAAAAAAAAAAACAAAAAACGACTTGACTTTCCCATCCACAAACTCAATGTGGATGGAGGAATCCACCCCAGTGAGTTACTGTATTCTGCCCGCAGAAAGACTCCTCCACCATCAGAATACACTAATCAGCACTGCCGGCTATAGATGGCGGCACCGATCAAAATCGTACAGCGCAGTTGTACACAAGTTGATTGGTAGATCAACTTGTGCACAACCTCCATGCCCATACATGTGTCAAAATTTGGCCCTGCTGAACCGGCCAAACTTCGATCCATCTATGGCCAAGCTTAAGACCTTGCCCTCAAGGACAGTGATAGTGATTGGAAGGTTAACATTTTTAACCTGCATCTATTGTTCTTAAAAAAAAACTCTAAAGACAATGCTGAAAGGGTAGGAAGATCATGGACAATCTACCCCAGTCTCAAAGGAAAAGAGAGGATCTCAAACTTAGAGGACAGTCTAAAATCACAAAAATGTCCCATACTGATGAATTATCATGATATACAAAAGATGACAAATTCCTCTTTAAGGGAAGGTCTGAATGGCCAATCTCATTTAAGGAACTGCACCATCAGGAAGGATGACGAATACTGTTTTTCACTAGCTTAGTGACCCGAGCCATAATCATTCCATGCTGTCTGACTACTTTGTGATCAATCTCCATTTCTGAAGTTACTCCCTGCCTAGCTGTATCTGAGCAACGTGTCACCTGAGAAAGTATATGCCTGCTTCTACGCCACTTAACACAATTCTGTGCTCCTCTTTTCTGCCAGCCTTTGCCTTTCCCAATTATGTAATCATGGCCTACATAAAGATATTACTTACCCATAGGCATCGGAGAACCAAATATTGGCCCCACATTGCTGGGGGCCGGCAGTGAAGGCTGCAAACGCATCTGAGCTTCCCCACCATACCTATATAAAGCAAGGAAAAGAAAGAATAAGAGCATGTACAGAACGGTCACCTAACCAGTCATCCAGCAGACACTCAATGTTTTGAAGTCGGAATTCCTACTAGAAAGTCTGACAAAAAGATCACATATCTTATGTGATGTCAAAGATTTAACCACTTCAAGTCCGGACACTTTTACCCCCTTCCTGTCCAGGCCAATTTTCAGCTTTCAGTGATATCACACTTTGAATGACAATTGCGCAGTCATGCAACACTGTACCCATATGAATTTTTTAGCATTTTTTGAGAGAGATAAAGCTTTATTTTGGCGGTTTTTATTCACCACTGGGATTTAAATTTTTTTTGCTATATAAATGAAAATGTACAAAAAATTTTTAAAAAGTGTTTTTCTTATAAAATGTTGCAAATAAATAATCTTTCTTCATAAATCTTGGCCAAAATGTATCTTTTTAGTAAAAAAAAAAAAAAATAACCAAAATTAGTTTATAACCAAAAATAATTTTTCAAAATGTTTTTTTTTACATTTAAATTTAATTTTTTTATATTATTATTTTTTTTTTTTTTAATATACTGTCAACCTAGCAGTACAGTGTCAACCTAGCAGCACAGTGTCACCATAGTGACACTGTACTACTTGTGGGGGTTGTTGAAGTATTTTTTTTTCATTTTTAATATACACAGATTGCTTTTACACCTATAAAAGCTGTAAAAGCAATCATTTCTCCTTCTCTCTGGCTGCATTCTTGCAGCCATTGAGAAATACTGTGCGAGCTGTGATTGGTCACAGCTTGTCACCTGGTACAAGGCTGTTGGGAATAGCCTTGTACCATGTGATCTCTGTGATCATTCACAGATTTCACTCATAGTAAGCAATGATGTCAGAAGTGACACCTTGCTTACTACCATTCACATGATCAGTGGTTGGCCAATCAGTGATCACATGATCGGGACATCACACAGAGGTCTTGTACAGCGATCTGTGTTCTGCTGTGTCCTCCGAACACTGGATCGCGGTGCTGCGCTCCCAGGGAGCACGCACAAGCAGGGAAACGCGGAGGATGTTTATAAACGGCCACCCGCTCCTGCACTGCTTCTGTCCGGCTGTTTATATACATGGGCCAGACAGGAAGTAGCTAAAGCTGGCCATAAATGGGTACAATTTCTTGGGAAAAGAATCAGTGGGTCAAATCAGCATTCGCTGTTGACCGCAGTGAAGAGAAAATTTGAAAAGAACAGTGTATGTGGTTTTTCTTTGGTAAAGTCCATTAATCTCAATATCAGATGTTAAAAGAAAACAAAATCTTTTTGGACAAACAAATGTTCTGAAAATTTTTGTATGAAAACTTTTCCTAAGAATTTTCATTTGAAATTATATTCATCTATTGCCAGCCTTCATAACAGGGGTATACAGAGAATAAATAATGGCATTTGCTGCCATTTTGCTGGTTTTAACCTGCATTTGCATGCCTTCAGCAGATCCAACATCTAGTACACAATCATCTGTGATCACATTTTTCCAATGATCAGCCTGCATGTTTGCTTTTGGTAGGTAAAATTATTTTATTGCCATGAAGGAAACCTTCAGGGTGACTTTTCTTTATGTGAACTTTATATCTGCGTGGCTGGAGTCATGTGTCATGGAGGCTGGTAATTTACAGTACATCCTCTAATGAGCCTGAGTGCACCATCTGTCTACTTGCTACAGCTGCCTGAAAGCACTAGAGATCCCTATTCCAACAGTGCATCTCAGGACAAAAAGCAGAAAAAAAGAGCACTATTTACATTGCAAACGTTTGCCTGGACTTATCTTTATCAAGTTCACTAATACAATTGCACCATTCAAATGTACCTCAGTGAGCAAAACTTATTGTGTGCATACGCAGAAATCCCTTTATTGTCAAATCCAAAAGGAGACACAGCAGACCAATGGAGTGCAGGCCCCACACTAAGCAGAAGGACATTAAGGGCTTGTTCACACTCGTGTGGATATATGTGGCTTTCTGCACCAGAAAAATCACAGGTCTCCTCAAATACAGAGAAAGCAATTGCTTTTTATGCAATTTATTCACACTTAATGTGGAACTTCACTCTCTCAATCAACACTTACCATTTTTTATTGTTATGAAAGGTGTAGCATATTTACTTGACTAAAGTGGTTTTTACACTTCTTCAGTTACTTCCTGGTTTCCATGCCTAGGCACATAATGTCATACATACCAGGAGTTTTCGGGAGGTGTGAAGGGGTTTTATCAGCTAAGCACACCCTCCTGCCTAAATGCCTGAGCATCTCACCCGCTCCCACATACGCTGCAATTGCCCAGGCGATCAGAAGCGGAAGTTGCCCCCCCCCCCCCCCCTCCCTTCCCATGACACGTCACAGAAGACTATGGGGCCATTCAGGCAGCAATACTCACGCATGTGCAGTGGGCACCCGGGCTGTGACGCTGCAAGCTGTCACAGCTGGGTGCCCACACTGAAGATGCTGGCGCTGGAAACACTGGCTGGCGAAACACGCTGCGGGGAAGACACAGCGGGATCGAGGGACAGGTGAGTGGCTGTTTTTTTTTTTTTTTTTTTACAGTTTTTGTAGCTGCTGACTTATTTGTTTTACAGTGTGACTGGAACTCCACTTTACCTGTGAGACAGTGGCTTGTGACTGAACTGTAGTTGCAAAGAAAATAAGCTTTGCTAGAGAACTGGAGCCAGGAAGACAGACTGTAGATTAAAAGTTGAATCCCATTAGATCACAAGGGACCAATGGGGGAAGGTACATGGAACCCCTTCCCCCACAAAAGTTGTTAAGTAGGGTTGTATGGGTCAACATTCTAACATAGCAAGGAAGTGTCTAGACTTCACAGTGCTAGGCTCCAGCTCAGCCCTATTTGCAGGAATGGAGGACAATGAGGAGACTGGGGTGAAATCCCATAACAGACCTTGCTGGAAAACCCTTTCACCTTCCACAGGCATCGTAAAATTGACAGATTTAGAAATGCTCCAGATTTACGGTCCAAGCATAGAGTAAACATTTTTAAAAGGATTTTGACCTTCTGCCATTGTTTGCCATATTCTAGCTGTGATTTAATTTGTTAAAGGACAGGGCCTGCCAGCAGGAACAGAGGTTTAGAGAAGGGATTCTATCTGCTGATCGGTAGAATCCTTCAATGCTGAACCTGTCTTCATGCAAAGCCCAGTGCCTGAAAGATACTTACAGGCTAGCCCTGCAGCTTCCAGTCTAATGGGGTCCAGTCACAGAACTCTAAAAGCCAGATCAAGGATGTCCACACTGGACAGCCTACATTGTAGAGATGTGGAAAAGGGTCTCAAAAGACAAAATTGAAGAAGTGCTAGCAAGAAATAAGTTAGTCATAACTTCAGAGTTAAAAAGACGTCCATCCTCCTAGGGCACTAGCAAAAATCTTAGGCATGCTGTTGGCAAGCAGTATAACCCAAAGATGGTAGACTTTAAAGTGTCCCTCAATAGATGAAAAAGAAAAACATACACCATAATGAAAATACCTGAAAAATGCCCGTGTAGCCCAGGTGGACACTTCCCGATCAGATGCAGATGAGGAGCATGCCAGTATTAAACATGTTGCACAAGCCTGATCCTCCTTTGAAACAAACAGGTTACAGGTTACCACTGTCATATTAAATTTAACATAAAGAAAAGAAGTGCAACTTGAACAGATAAAAAAAACCAAAAACAAAAAAAAAAACACACAACAATTCCAGGGTTTAGATATACAGTGAGGAACAGAAGTATTTGAACACCCTGCGATTTTGCAAGTTCTCCCACTTAGAAATCATGGAGGGGTCTGAAATTCACATTGTAGCTGCATTCCCACTCTGAGAGACAGAATTTAAAAAAAACTTCAGGAAATCACATTGTATGATATTTAAAGAATTTATTTGTCTTGCACTGCTGAACATAAGTATTTGAACACCTGAGAAAATCAGTGTTAATATTTGGTACAGAAGCCTTTGTTTGCAATTACAGAGGTCAGACGTTTCCTGTAGTCCTTGACCAGGTTTGCACACACTGCAACAGGGATTTTGGCCCACTCCTCCACACAGATCTCCTCTAGATCTGTCAGGTTTCGGGGCTGTCGCTGAGCAACACGGAGTTTCAGCTACCTCCAAAGATGTTCTATTGGATTTAGGTCTGGAGACTGGCTAGGCCACTCCAGAACCTTGATATGCGTCTTACGGAGCCACTCCTTGGTTATCCTGCATGGGTGTACTCAACAGGGTGATCCAATATGGCCCCCACGCCGGAAATGACGTCACTGGAAGCTCCTCCCCCACGTACCGACGCGTTGCGCCACGCCCACCTCGTGACTTCATCACCCTGATGAAGTCACGAGGTGGGCGTGGCGCAACGCGTCGGTACGTGGGGGAGGAGCTTCCAGTGACGTCATTTCCGGTGTGGGGGCCATATTGGATCACCCTGTTGAGTACACCCATAGCATGTGGTAAAAAGCTGGAAAACTCGTGGGCAAATGTGAGTGTAATACTTATTGTAGTTTTAAATTTGATGCAATAAAAACCGGTTGCACTATGGAGGGTCTCTGTTTGTGTCTTATCATGATCCTGTGAGGAGCTGGCTGTTAGTCGGTTGGAGGCTGGAGACGTGAGGGGAAAGCCTGAGAGGGACCCATTCTGATAGGATCACTTGATCCTCAAAGCGTGTTGACCCTGTGGGGTCTAATGAAGGAGGTGAGGGGGTATTTTGGCTGGTAAAGGATTGGCACGTGTGTACCATGTATACGGCACATTATATATTCTTCCATGAAGAGTGAAGTGTGAGGATCATCACAAAATTATCGTATTACTATTATATCATTTTGGACTTTTTGAATTGATTATTTGTTCACTAATTTTGTGCACCAGTATACATATTTGTCACTTTTTTCACTAAATATTCCCTGTGAGGGAATTCACGTATGACACAACTATTTTATTGTTTATGTATTGATTTATCACCTTGGATATATGTAGGAGATGTATATAGAGTTTGTGCATTTTAACACGTAATTTGTTAGTATTATTAGCGCTACACTATTTATTTTAATTGATCATTCACTTACTTGGGTATAAGTTTGGTGTCGGCAGCTTTTGAAGGATAGGATTCCATTTAAGCGCAGGAGGTTGTTTTTTTGGAATTTTATGTAATGAAATGCGAGTGCTGGGCTATCCAAGGGAAGCATGAACCCAGGCTGGTGTGGTGATGTGCCCCCCCCCCCCCGGGGCATGTCCACAATGGCCTAGGCTACAGGAAATGGGGCTTAACGCTAGAAGATAAGTATACTGTAGTAACTAAAGCTTCTATTTTTCATACCTGCTAGGACTCCTTTTAATGTGGTATTATACTCTGAAGCAAACATTATATTGCAGCTTACCAATTCTTAGGAGGTGATGGCTGTATTAGTTTCCTTTTTTAGGCTCTTTCTATTCTCATCTGGTGTTTCAGCAAGTAAGCCTGTTGTTTTTCAAAAGTTCCATCTCCCCAGCAGAATGTATCAGTTCACATTGATGGGACAATCCAATTACCACAGACAGGGGTGATTAAAATGATCAGCTTTTATTTAGTCATGTAAAACCTTTATCCAAAAACTGCTCTAACTGACTATAAAAGTATGAGCTGGAGTTTTGCTTCAATTTGTTCTTGCATTTAAATCTGCTAATACCTTCAACACTCCCACTCCCCAGCCTGACAATGCTGCCGTCTGCTGTGTCCTGTGCTCAGTCCTCCAGAGTGGTATCTCACTAATACAAGGTGTGCGCTACTGGCCAGATCACCAGGGGAAAAAGCAAAGAAAAGTAAAGAAAAGTAAACTGATGCAATCACCACATCTAATGATTGGTAAGCTGCAACATATTACATTTTTGTTTGTGGGTTTAATACCGCCTTAACAAAAAATAAATAAATAGGTGGCATTGAGCCTACGGGTAATCACTTTTTTTTCTTTAGCAAAGGCTATTGGTTTTACTTCAAATACATTTAAAAATATTTATATGCATTATATTTGTGATATAGATCCTTATCTTATAAAGGAAAAATTTAGTACAGGGGGCTTTTATGCTACAATGTCTGCAGACAATACTAGGCTTTCTAACAAGAAAGCTCAACTCTTAAGTTGCTGACTGCTCCTGCAGGCCAAAAATCCAAATGGGCACTGTCTCCAGTGGAAATGTGTGGGTTTCCCTTCTCCAAGTCACTCAACTGTATGTAATCTAAAATCCTTCGAATTCGTTCACAGGAAAAAGTAAACCATCTAAAACCCAGAGTACCATGTGCACACATCTGCTAGCTGCAAGGGGTAAGAATGAAAACATACCATATATGCATTATTTTAAATTTCCCTTTCCATGTCACTTTTTTGTGTTGAACAGAATACATGAAGAAAATACAGAAACAGAAAATGCTATGATTATTTATTGAGGTCTCTGCATATATACTAGTTTCTGAATGTTGTTACCTGGTGCAGTTTAAAAAACCTCTCAATTTCTTCCCCATCTCCTCCAGTATTGGTGACAAGAAGGTGTCGCAGCTGATCCACAGGTCTAAGCTTATGGAAGATGTGACTCCCCTGTAATCCAAAAAGAGCAAGTCACCATTAAAAAAAATAAAATTAGAACTTTTGGTTTACCCATAAAAATACCCCCTTTTTTTTTTTTTTTTTTTTTTGAGTATATCAGAGGACTTCATATTAATAAGGGCAACACACGAAAAGAATAGGCTAAAACCCCCAACTACGAGGCCTTCAAATTTCACCCAAAACTGGCATCTGCAGGTGTGATCTACCTAGTAGAGCTTAGTAAATGTGTGAAAAGAAAACCAGACAGCAGTTTTGCCAACTTGTACAGGAGTTTGATGCTTAATAGCCCAGGGAGGGTTGCACAGGCCAACAATCCATCTAACACCCTGTACAAAGGCTTTTACCAAGGAATAAGACTCTGAAACACACTGGCCAAGGTCGATATCGGTCACTTGATGGTACATAAAGCCAGAGACATCTCCTCACCAGAAAAGTAAAAATGCGTCCCACAATATACCGTCAGGGGTGAAACTTACTGGCCTCACACCAAACAAATCTCTGCATTCACCTAGATTCAGCTGGAGAATGTCTGTCATCCAATTTTGCATGCTGGGAATGTGCACATAAAAGAGGGCCGGAACATGAAGTTCTGCCCAACACAAGATCAGGTCAGTTTCTTCTTGAGCATCTCAACTTCTTGTCCCTCCTTTTAGATTAATGCATGCCACAGCCGTGACATTGTCCGACTGCACCCTGATGGAAAGACCGCAAAGGTAGACAGATACAAGCAAGTAAATAGAAGAACTAGCGACTTGGTGACTCCTCAGGAAACAACAAGCTTTATTATCTTCTATAAAGGGGAGTGCAAACCAGCATACAAAAGTGCTAGCGCATTACAGCCTTATTATCTTGTTGACCTTGAAGGGTTAATTTTACCCCTCCCCTCAGTTTTGAGGGTGGAGGTAAAGAAGAGTATAAAAGGATGTGAATGTGTAAGGCCCTTGTCGTTTGAAACGCGTCAGTACTTTTGTATTCTGGTTTGCATTTCCCTTTATAGAAGATCATAAGGATTGCGGTTTCCTGCAGAGTCCCTAACTTGCAGGCTTTTCTATTTACCTGTTTGTATCTGGTGGGGCTTGTGGAGGCCAAGAGCAGGGCACAGAAGCAAGATAATTCCACCAAATGAGTGGGGAGGTAGGAGCGATGTCTCTGCTTTTCTTTTTCCACAAAGGTAGACAGACCAGTGCAGGAGTGCCAGACGTGCTGCTCAATATCCCAGGATGGTGATCGGCAACTTCCAGTTGTTTTCATGGTTCCCCAGCACATTCATGCAGGACTGAATAAAGCGACTCCCCAACAACCACAGGGACTCCACCAGGGATGAAAGACACAGGCATTTCTCCTACATAAGTAGTACCTTTGCCTGAGACATGTCAAGGTCTAAGCTTAAGTACTTAAAGAGGTTTTGCGCCCCAACTGAATCTTCCCAGGATCTGTAGTCTGTTGGACATTTGATGTCAGCTTCTGAGCCAAATGTTCATTGAGAAGCAGGTCATCCAGGTGCCCTACAAAAGGGTTCTTTACAACCCCAGAACTGGGGCCAACACCATGGTATACACTCTACGGGGTTGTGGACAGGCCAAAAGGCATTGTCACAAGCTGAAGTAAGACTCCTCTTTGAATTGCAGAAACCACTGGTGAAGGCAGCAAATGAGGAAGTTTAGGTAGACATCCTTGATATCCAAGGATGCCAGGAAGTTACCCCATAAAGCAAAGCAGTCACTGACAGGGTATGCTGCATCCTGAATTTTTTCTACCTTCAGGAACTTGAAACCTTTGGAGGTTCAGAATAGACCAGACATCTGATTCACTTGGGAACCATGAAGAAGTTTGAAAAGAAGCTGTAAGACCTGTCCACTAACGACACAGGTGCCATGACTTTATGAGAAAGTCTTTTCAGAGCTGCAAAGAAGACCACCCCCTTATTGAATCTGAACATACTCTTGTGTGTACAAATCATGAAGGGGGATAGCAACTAAACTCGTATTTTAGCTTCTGGACCCCACCCTGCAGACCTAGTCATCTGTGACATACTGAATCCAGGCGGCTGCAATTTCTCTCTGAGAAGCATTGGCCCTTAGAACCAGAGGATAAGGGTTTTGTTCTTTTGAAAGTCGGAGGCACGCCTTTGTTTAGAGTTCACGGTTGTTTGCTTAAAATTCCAAAAGGTGCTACTGGTTTCTCACCATCACCTTCACCTTTCTCTTTAGGGGAAGAGGAATCTGACAGCCGGTTAGTGCACTCCACACCTGCTAGGAAGCCAACCATGTTCTAGTGTGGATTTGGATCCTGAGATTTCTCCTGGGAGGGCTTGCCCACAGAGGATTACGGATCCTAAACAACTTCCTCCTCTTCATCATAATGAGGATTTTCCTTTGATGCATCATCAAATAAGCTGTACTCAGAGATGGCTGCCCCAGGATTCAGCCCCGACTGGAAACATTGCAGGCCATCCCTGCTCCAGATAAGATCCTTGGCCACAGTGCTTGATCAGAATGAAATTCTCCTCAATACCATCAGAGGCGTGAAAAACCGGGCAGGAAATCCCGGAACTAATCCCACACAAGGAAATCTTCAGAGAGGAATCTGTAGGCACATCCATCATCTAAGAAAAGTAGCTAAAAACTGAAGCTTAGCTGAGCTGGAGGGGATTATACCTGCGGGAGGGATTTCTCTTTTTTTGGTCCATGTGTATACACCTGTCATAATCCTAGCACAAGCCAAGCAGTCAGGAATTTAAAGTCCTCTGTGTTGTTTGGCATGCAATTAAACACAAATAGACATAAAGGCAAAACCTTTTTTTTCCATTTTGCATAGAGCAAGGGAAGGTCATAGCCCCTTTCAGATTTTTTTTGCCATCTGTATCTGGAGAGATACCTTCATTTCATGTCCCATAGCTGAAGCAAGAAGTTATAGGAAATCTCTTTAAAGTAAGTGAATCCCTGGTTATCACCAGGGTCATCAGAACTAGTATCCCCTGTATAAGATTTGCCCGCTATTAATAATCTAGGAACAACCAAAATGGGTTTTTCTTACACCGTCACCTTTGGTAATAATCATAAAACAGAACAAGTAGAACGGGTGAATCTCCCAACGGGGCACAGCAATAAAAATCTGGCAAGTGTTCTAATCCCCCTCCACTCTATTCAAAACTGAAAATTTTGCCTTTAGCTATACCTTTCTGTAGACCGAGTGGGATCAAACGTCAGACAAACCTTTGCAGAGAGCAGAACAAACTTCTTTGGGGGAACCATGTGCTGTCGAATCATAACAGGAGAGTCAGTAACAGGGATGATGTCTTTGTTTAATGGAGTCATTATCTTTTCCACCTGGCCTTCATCAATGGAAGAAAGAGCCCAAGAATGGCCATCCACATGAACAGTTACCTGTATAAAAAAAAAAAACAGTGGTCATGTGTCAAGCAAAAGGAGAATATAGTATTAAAAAGTACATAGCAATAAATATGAAATCTTACCAGAAAACACTGAAACTAGACAAGTAGGAAAAATTGCATATACAGTTCATTCATAAGATATAACTGCACTATCGCAAGATTATATTGTCAAATAAAAGCCACCATATTGACAAGGTTGATATAGGCTGAGATGTTAATACAGTTCTCTTCTATATAAAAGGAAGACTGATCACTTTCTAACCAAGAGCCCCACAAAAAAGTTTATTTTCCAAAACTGTGAAGCCACAGCTTTGTATGCCCAAAAACCCCCCACACTTGATAACACCATGCCACAGATTGGAACTCTTGTCAGATTTGTACCATTATCTTTACCTCTGTTACAGAGATTTCTCCTCACTTAGGCTAGGTTCACACCTGTTCGTTTTTCTATGCGTTTTGCAGGAACGCAGTGCATGCCATTTATCATGATTTCCTATGGATCACATTCACATCTATGCAATTTTTGCGGACAAATTTTTTGGAAAGGGTTAGGGAGTTCTTTTCCCGCAGCAGTTTTGCGGTTTTAATCCAATAGACTTCAATGGAACCGCATATAAAAACTCAAGCACTGCTTTTTGGACACGTTTTTGCTGTTTTTTCAATCTGCCCAGCAACAACTTGTCGAAAAAAAAAAATAAAGCAAGCAGCAGAGGGAAAAAATGAATGCCAGTCCACTTGTCTCCTGGATTGTGTCCTTGCTTTAGAAATGTATTGAAATGTAGTAAGGAAGGGGGGGGGGGGTTAAATCCAGTAAATGGGATGAAGGTTTATTGATTTCGATGAATAGGATCTTTTTGTACTTATTGTAGAATATATTTGTTTGAGTCCACTGGGGGGACACAGGAAGCAAATCACTTTCAGGCTATCTTGCTTACAGTAGGGATTGGACAAAGGTGAACAAAAAACTGCAAGCCAGTCCAGGGTATAACCCATCCTACTACCTGCACGCCTCCATTTTGAGGTAAGTAGCACTGAAAGCATCATTATACCACAGAGGAGTGGGAAATTTTTTTTATGGTGAAAAATCCTATTTCTCATCCATTAAAGGATGAGTTAACCTTTCATAACATGTTACACCCACATTCAGGGTGTAACACGTAACAAGTTATGATCAGACTGGCCCCTGCTCTACTCGCTTTGACAGCTAGCGGGGGATCTCCCGCCCCTCTTGCTAGCTGTCAAATTTTGCCTGGTCGCGTCACTTCTCAATGAATTACCATGGCGCTGTGGAGTAGTTCATTGATTCTTCCTATCTGCTTGCCTGTACATGCAGAAATACTGACAGATCTACAGGAGACATGCTTGGCAATGGTTTACACCCTCCTGCAACAAAATATACAAAAAATAATAAATACACTTTTTTTTGCAAATGTGCATTTAATATAAAGGTGAACTTATCATTTAAAGAGCAGAAGAAGTAATTCACTTTTGGCATGTCCAAAAGAGGTGGGTCACAAACAGGTCCAAAACATCAACTTAAGATTGGGGACTGCATGCTGATGGTAAAAAGAGTTATCCAGGGATGGCCAACAATTTTTTTGCTTGCCAGTGTTCACACCAGTATAACCCAAGTGATAGTGGCAGTATAATCCAAAAGTAAAAAAGACTCTTTGTTCCTCAATAGATGAGAAAGAATGTGACTCAAAATTTTATGTTCTCACCTGTATCTCCATCAATGGCTTCTGAAATGGGAAGGAGTCATGGTTGATGCACCAGAGAATATCATGATCCTCATTTTCAGATGCGGCCATTAGTAGAACACCTGACAGAGACAGAACATCAATATACTGTTGTACAAATAGATGTATTTTCTTACAACAAATTCACAATAGTAAAAAAAAAAACAAATAAAAAAAGTTAAATTTCAGTTAGAGGTGGAATGTGTCCTTGAATCTGTAAATTTTGGACACTTCAACAGGAGATCACCTTGCCACTACTCTTCACTTCTGCCAACGCTGTGGGGAAGATTTATGAAAACTGGTGCAACTGTACATGGTAACCAATCAGATTCTAACCTCTAGCTTGTTTAATAGACCTTCAGCAATAAAACCTGGAAGCTGATTGGTTCCCAAGCTAAATTAACTGATCAAGCTGAACATCCTGTACTGATAAACATTTGCATGATGCATGCCTCACCATTGTTATATAGAGCTTTGTGGACTTTTGAAGGTTTTTCTACATTGGAGGAGGCGGAGAATCCTGGCGGTAGGCGGACATGCACCAATGCCAATGTGCTTGGACGTGTTGCTGGTTGTTTGAACGGACCGGTAGTAAAGTACAGACGAACCCCTGGAACAGAAAAAAAATTGTCTGAGTTTACATTTCACCACAAGTGTCGCAGCATAAAACAAATATGAATCCACAGGAGTTGAGGTAATTGAAAAACAACATGGAGATTACAGAGATAGTTATTTTCTGACTTAATATCTTTAAAGGGACCGTCCCCTTGCCCATTTAGGGCAAGTGATAGTATCACTACACAGGGACCCCTCCTGACCCCCCTTATAATCATCTTGCCTGCGCTCACTCACCATTCCTTGCTCCATGGGCAATGAATTCGGCAGTTTCGGCAACAAGGGGGAGTGGCGACATCACTCTCTAGGCATGTGACAGGGCACAGACCTAGTGATTTGCTAAGTACTGGCAAAGGGGATCAGGTCACACGCCCAGAAGTGCCAGGTAGTGTTAATGGCTACAAGTGAAGGAGAGGTCAGGGGTCAAAGCCTTTGCCATGTAGCCCAAAGTTACCGTATCTTTGCAAAGTGACAGTGTCTACCCAACATGACAAATCACAAATAAAAAAAATCATATTTAAATTATCAGGGCTGAGCAAATCCATGAAGCCAAGCGGACCTCAGCAGTTAAAATCTTTGTTAGAAAAATGACCAATGCACAGCAGTAGCAATAGTTGAGAAGCATTTGAAATCCACTGAAATCCACCCAAAGCAGGGGGCTGAACAAAGATTCATCACTTTGGATCTGACATCTATGATGTAGTGAATATGAGGAATCATCGTACAATAAGAATCTTCACCAGCACACTTTGGTATAGTAATAATCTTGTCCTTTATTTATTACAGGTATTTTTATAGTGCTTTACATATATATCTCTTAGATTGTAAACTCAAAAGGAGCAGGGCCCTCCTAACCCTTTTGTATTGAACTGTATTGTCTCCCTTTATTTTGTAAAGCGCGCTGAGCAAACTGTTGGCGCTATATAAATCCTGTATAATATACATTCACATCAGTCTCTAACCCTCTAAGAGGTCCCTAACTTACATTCATACATACACCTACTAGGGCCAATTTGGACAGGATCCAATTAACCTACCAGCATGTCTTTGGCGTGTGGAAGGAAACCAGAGTACCTGGAGGAAACCCACGCAGGCACAGGGAGAACATGCAAACTCCAGGCAGGTGGTGCCGTGGTTGGGATTCAAACCAATGACCCTAGTACTGCCAGGTGGAAGTGCTAACCATTTAGCCACTGTGCTGCCCCACAAAGTAAACAGACATCAAAGGTAGATCTTTAGGGACCTCTCAGGATCCCTTTTTAAGAAGGAGTGATCAAAAGGGATTCTGCTAGGTCCCAAAACATCGGCCTTTGATGCCTGTTACTGTACTTGAATAATAGACAAGATTATCACTATACCAAGGTGTGCTGATTAAGATGCCTATTCTTCCATGATTACACGGGGGCACTGGGAGGAGGGGAGTGTTACAAGTACTAGTTGATTTAGATGCACTAAACAAATTGATGCCAAACTCCAGATAACATTTTTTGAGCAGTTACAGCAACAGTTTTTTCCTTTTGGGATAAAGGTTTTACATAAATAAAAGGTGATCATTGTAAGCACTCTCTCAGCGACAAACGTTTTGTCTCAACCTTGTAACTGCTACATCTGTAGGACTTACAGGCCAGATCATCAAGTTAAAGAAAACAAACAAAAAGACCCCCTAAAAACACCTGATACAGCCACTACATCTAACAACTGGCAATCCGCAGTATTGCTTTTGGGTTAATACCACTTTAAGGTAGAGCACAGAATGGACTATGATAATTCCCACTTCAACTGATGCCAAAGACTTCCGCATATCAGTCTGCAATTGTATCCTCACATTCTTTTTGCTTGGGCATGGAAAAAAAAAAAAAAAAAAAAAAAAAAAAAGGAAGGATAATCTTCACAGCTGCCAAGTTTTTTATATAAATGAAAGTCTACAAACGCAAGTAAAATATTCAGGTTTCATCGATATGTGCAAGTTTTATTTTACGATTGAAAATCCAAAAAACAGTGCAATAGTCATCTATATGTGACCAAAGATGTAATCAGCATAAAGACCTAAAAAAATGCAGATTAGAATCAAACCTCAGATGCCCGAAAATATAATTCACAGCTCGCACTGTATCCTGATTTCTGTATGACTGTAGCTGCAGCACAAATATTTTAATCAAAGTGTTATTAAAGGCAATTAAAAGTAAAAAAAACACAACAAACACGTCATACTTACCTGCTGTGTGCAGTGGGTTTGCGCAAAGCAGCCCCAGATCCTCCTGTTCTTGGGTACCCTGTTGGTGCTCCTGGCCCCCCTCTCCTGCCAAGTGCACCCTGAGCAAGAGGCTTGCTATGGGGGCACCCAAGCAGGCTAGATCCCAAGCCACTGCTCTGCGTGTTCATTCACACATGGGGCTGTGGCACGGCCTCACCCCCTCTCACACCTCACTGGCAGTGATTGACAGCCGTGGGAGCCAATGGCTCCTGCTGCTGTCTCAGCCAATGAAGAGGGAAATATCCAAGAGAGCTGAGACTCCATTGCTGGATTGCTACGGGATTCGGGGATTAGAGGACTGCTGCACACAGAAGTTTTTTTTTACCTTCATTCATAGAATGCATGAAGGTAAAAAGCATTGAGCATTTACAACCACTTTAATGCATCAGATAAGAGAACTCACCTGCATGTGTAACTGCGAGTAAGTGACAATTTACAGATTCTGATTTTTCAATCACAGCAATCTGAATTATGGGCTTAAATACTGTGCGGTCTATAGTCCTAAATGGAAGCAAGAATAAAAATATTACAAAGAGAAAACAAACATTTCCAGGCATAGTGATTAACAGACTTTTTATTTGAGATATATATATATATATTTATTTTTTAATAATGATGGTGTTCTACATTGGTTTTCCTATGCTGGACTGACTACTGACCAAACCTAAGGTGTGAAGTGAACCTCTGGCAAGGCAACTTTCCTTCCTCCTACAAATGGTTTATATGTTTTCTTATTTGTCACAGACTGTGTACATGTTCTGGTAACATAACTAATCTTGTGTCTTCCTGTCATTATATGTATTTTTTTTTATGGTTTAAAAGTGGTGCATACAAGGGGAGGCATTTCTGGCAATAAATTGGGTGACAGGACATGCCTGTACTCATATTCAGAGTAACCAATCCTCAAAGACTTAGTGCAAAAACATCTTCCACAAAACAGCAGGTAACTGAAACGTGTGCTAAAGTTTCCCAGTTTTCATCTTTTGTTGTCAAAAGCAGAAACTTTACTAAAACTTGCACATTGTAACTATAGTAAAAAACAAAACAAAAGAAAACCACTTTTTTTTTTTGCATATGCTACGAAAATTTGCAGCAAATTCCTAACATTCACTCATTATCTTCCTACTAAAAGAAATTTTAAAAAGACCGTCACCAACTGTTACTGTCTATAAATGTCTTTTATTCGATTTCCTTTGCACTTGCTAGCAACTTTGGCTATGTCAGGAAGAGTCCATTTCCTAGCTAAGCACTTAGCCCTTTTGTCTTTGCACATTATGGGCCTTTCCTCTTCTTGCAGTGTTGAATTACTGTCTGTCCTGGCCCAGTTCCTTTGCCCCTCTCTCACATTTTTACATAAACTTGATGTAGGTGTCAGGGGAGGAATGAAGGGGCATACTACAAAATGTCAAATAAGCAACAGCTCCAAGTCTGCTGGGGCTGCCATCATCACATCAAAAATGACGGCACCCAGCAGCAGTCTCAGGGCTTTTGGATGTCTATACAAAGAGCTTTTCCAGATAAATAAAATACATAAAATGCATTTCAGTGGACATAGAATCCTAGGGGAAAATACATGTCTTACTGGACCAAATTCTCAGCAGTCACCACAGACCTGCAACTCTTTACCTAAGGCTTGCTGGTATATGGTGACTGCTATGAATTATGCCTGCATTCTTTCCTTCAAAAGACAACTGGAGGAAGCAGGACACAGCAGGAAGGCCTTGACATATACAGGCAATGACAGGCTGGCACGTCAGGATTTGACAGACAGAAAGGTACTTAATGCCCAATAGGGCTCATTCACCCTAGACAGCAACATTAAAACACATTGCTGCTGGTGTGTGCTGGCACAGATTACTGTAAAAGAGTGCTTTTCAATTTGTTAAAATGACTGTGGGATGTCAGGTGGAAGGGATTACTTAACATCCTGCAAAAGAGATTATAAGGATAGCCAAGGACTCCCTACTATGTTCATTTATACAGAAGGTAATGGGGAGTTTCAGAGCAGGTTATTTGCAAATCTACCAGAATTGTAAAATGCAAGTTTGTCTGATTAGATTTGGAAAGGTCTTAAATATTCATAGTGTATATGTCTATGGTGAAGAGAATTTCAACGTGGCCACCTTTGAACAAGGCTGTTAAGGATTGCAGTTTTGCCATAAACAAGACAAGGAGTATCTATTTAACTTTTTAATTAAAAGCTATCCATACAGATGTTCTAGGTCTAGACACATTGCTTTTAACACAAGATCAAACAAACACACTCATAAAATCAACCAGTCAGATCGCTCAACACTTTGGCCAATGGGAAAAGGCGTATATTAGGGAAAGTTTTTTTGGTTGAGTTGTGTCAGGAGAGAGTGTGAGAGGAGAAAGTGGGTTCTCTGAAGGTGTCAGATGACTGCATGAATGTTCTAAGTACCCTGTCATCAGCCTCGCCTGTACCTTGGTTTTATGGATTGTCTCTGAGCTGATTAAATGCATCTCTCTAGAAAAGAACTGTTATATTTGCTGTGTGATATAAGACAACATACATACACACACACACATACACACGCACGCACATACACATATATTGCTGCATAAATTGACGGCGCTATAAAAGAACCTGAGTTAAATAAATGTACTGTGGGGTGCTCAATTACCTGGCAATGTTACCCGCTGCAGAGACTATTGCATTCTGTGACAGGGACGCCACCCTACTCATTGCATTACCATCTTGTCCCAAGTCATAAGCCTGGAATAGAAAACAACATTTTCATAATTCTGAATAGGATAGATAGCTCAATTGTGCAAACCTCTACATTTTAAAAAACACAAAGATCATTTCAGATAGCCAATAATAAAAATTACCACTGGTTTAATACACAGTTTACAATGTAATAATTGGAAATACAGATTACAATGAGGATTACAAGGATTCTTCAATTAACCACTTGCCCTCTAGAGGATTTACCCCCCTTCCTGACCAGGCCAGTTTTTGTGATATAGCGCTGTGTTACTTTAACTGACAATTGCGCAGTCATGCAACACTACACCCAAATTAAATTTATGTCCTTTCTTTTCCACAAATGGAGTTTTCTTTCAGTGGTATTTGATTACCTGTGCAGTTTTTATTTTTTGCGCTATAAAAAACAGAAAAAAAAAAAAAAGACTGCCAATTTTGAGAAAAAAAAACAAAACCAAAAAAACAATATTTTTGACTTTTTGCTATTAAACATGTCCAGTAAGAAAAAAAAAAATACATTTTCATCATAAATTTAGGCCAAAATGTATTCTGCTACATGACTTTGCTAATAAACAATCCCAATACAAGTAAATTAATTGGTTTACTTGAAAGCGGCGATCAGCGACTTATTGCAGGACTGTGGTGGGCATTCTGACACTGGGTGGGAACTGACTGTCACTGACATCCCCAGTGACACTAATACAGTGATCAGTGCTAATAAAAATCACTGATACGTACTAAATGGCACTGGGCAGGAAGGGGTTAAAATCTGGGGTGATCAAAGGGTTAACTGTGTGTGGTTTTACTGTGTGTGTTTCACTGTGTCAACACATTGCCTTGAATTGCTCTGCTGTGCAGAGCAACACAAACCAATGTGCAGAAGCGGACAGGGGAAAGATCGGTATTGTTTACATACAGATCTCTTCCGTCAGGTATACTCGCCGATCAGCGGCTGGGACCCGGTGATCGACAGTTGAGACCGCCAATGACGGCGCAGGTAGGGTGCATGTGCGCCCCCTACCCAGAAATGCAAAATCATGTATATATACACACACGATTTTGCGCAGCCCTGCAGCAGTATTTCTGCTATAGGGCGGCTGGAAAATGGGTTAATGTGGAACTATGTGCAAAACATATTACATAATTCTTGATAGGATGGGGTTGAGTAAACAGTAATTATGTAAGCTGAACTCCATTTAGCCTGTGACCGGACCAGGCTAAGGAGGACACCATGCGAGACCGCATAATAAATCCTGTTACATGAGGTTTTCAAAAAGGGAAGACCATGAAGTGCATTCTACTAGTTTTCTGAACAGAGAGAGAGAGAACACCCCCCCCAAAAAAAAACAAAGGAAATCCCCATGGGGTCATATTGATTTACTAAAGGACTTGAGAATGTTCATATAATAAATTAAGTGATGCACACTGTTGTGGGAACAACCTTCAATCCTTTAATAAATCAGCCTCATTGCCTCTACTTATGTTCTTTTAACAGCTGGGAGAGAAGCGAGTGTAAACCTCCTGACGGGAAGTAGAAGTAAAACTGGACAGAGGTTCTAGTCCTTAAAAAACCAAACTAAAGTATCTCTTTTTCACAAGCACAATGAAATGAGTTAAAAATTGTACATGCATGTATCCTTGTCAAATTTTGTTACCTTTTGATTTATTTGTAATTGTTGTCCATATGCCAACTTGCCTAGTTTGTTAATCAGCATTAGAGGGAGGTGATGAGTCTGAGGGAAATTATGTAATCCTTCTCTTAGAGGGAGTTCTCCATAGGAACAAATTTGTTTTATTCTTTGTCAAGACCTGAGGGTGCAATAGGATGGCTAACCCCCCCCCCCCCCCCCCGCATTTAAGCCATTTGTTGGCTTTATAAAGCAGCGGTCAACAAATGAGAAGCAATACAGAGGACAGGATTGGAAGGAGTCACACTGATGGTCTCTGCCCATATTGCAAATGTAGAAGCATAAATGACATACTATGGATCTGTAGAAAGCCTATAACCTCTGGGCTAGTCAGCTTGAAGAGAAAATACCAGGTCTTGCACTGTGCTAGTTTTGCAGGTATTTTTTTTCTACAGGCATAAAGTTTATTGGATTTATTGGAGAACCAACAATGCTACAGTCAGTAATAATCCAAATAGTACAATACAGTGCAACATTCCAAAAGGGCACAGTCATACAGGCACCATTTCTAACTTGCAATTTCAGATGTTTAAATAATACAAAAATTATATAAGTTCTGCTGTAAGACAAAACCAGGATTAAGTTTACTAATTTAACGGTTTTCTTCCAAGGACAGTTTTAGTGTGGGTACAAGGACATAATTTACCTGTAGTACTCCTTTCTCAGAGCGAGTGTATAAAATATTCCTTGAATTGTCTACAGCAATCTGGACTATAGGATCTAAAGAGAACAGGATAAGGTATAAATGCTATAAATAAAACAAACACCCAGATGACAACATTTAAAAAGCAGATTAGCCCAAATGAGGTATGTTGCAGGCATCCTAGAACAGCTGGCAGTATAAATTTATTCATGAAATGAATTGGACTCCATTTACACTTGTGCAAATGGTCGTAAGATTTCCATTGTGACTTTGATGCAAGTTTGGATGGGTGCAACTTGGATGAGACTTTGGCTATTGACTTTGGTTTTGACTGCAGCTGCACAGAGGCAGCTCGGGCACACTATGAGCAACACTCACAAGTTCACACTGCTCATTCCAAACAGAACTTAAAGTCTTATTAAACCAACATTTAAAAAAAATAAAAATAACAAAACATGTCTATACTTACCTGCTCTGTGCAATGCTTTTGCACAGAGCAGCCCTGATCCTCTTCTTATGGGGTCCCCTTCCAGCGCTCAAGGTCCCCCTCTTCAGTGGGTGCCCACACAGAAAGCCGCTCTCCAGGGGGGGGGGGGGGGGGCACCCATGCATGCTCGCACCCAAGCAAACCAGGCTAGGCCCTGCCCCCCCCCCCCCCCGCTGCCATATCACGGCATTTGACTGACAGCAGTGGAAGCCTGAGGAGGGAGACAGTAGCAAGAGCCGCTGCTCTCGTGCACATCGCTGGATTGGATTGGGCTCAGGTAAGAATAAGGGAGGCTGGGGGGATCTGCAGCACAGAAGGTTTTTCACCTTAATGCATTAAGGTGAAAATCCTTAAGGTTTTAGAACCACTTTAATTTTCACTCTTCATGGGGCATCATTAAAATGTATATTACTCTAACTCCTTGCATTTGCAATCAGTATTCGCTAGAGTCAGACAATGACTTGGATCTAGGAGTCCTGTAGTGTACTTCTAAGAAAAAAACAAAAAAAAAAAAAAAAAAAAAAAAAAAAAAAAACACACAACTAAAATTCTCCTTTCTGAGCCACTTCCCTTCTCACACCTGTTCACCGCCTATGGACAGTGCAATTTTTACATTTCTGTTATGGGCCAGTTTATTCAGCAATGACATTACTTAAGATAACAGTATTATTATTATTTTTTTTTAAAGTGGAGCTTTAAACAAAATAATGTTCTTTAGCAAGGAACATACATTGCACATTAATAATTATACTACCAAAAGGAGTGTGTGCTGTAAATTACCTCCATCATTGCTCCTGTTTCTTCCTGCTGGAGGCTGCCATTTTGCTGAAGCCCAGAGCCCAGAAACAACAGTAAACCAATAAGGCTGTACTAAAACCATCGATTTAGCAATATCAAAAAACAGTTACATTCCTGGAATGCCAAGATTGCTAACTGTCACATTTGCTTGTGTTCTCAAACTGTCAACCCATCAATTGGCTGGTTTAGCAGTTGCAGATCAAACAGAAGCAACTTCCTTGGCTGTAAAAGGATAGGAGAGTTTTATTCTGCTTTCAGGCTGTCAGCAGATCAGTCTTTACAGATACAGTGGTGTCTAAAAATGGAGAGCAACTGAACAGAGCACGGTGAAACTGTGTATTACTGGATTTTAAATAGTATAGACACTTATTTTTAGGGTTTGTTCACACCATGGTGCAGAGATTAGGGATGCAGTGAAATTTCGGTGGTCGAAACGTTTTGGCTGAAAACACCCCTTTCAACCATCAGCTAAAATGAAAAAAAAAAAAGAAAAAAAAAAGCACCGATACAGGTGCCAAAAAAACTGCCCCTCCGCTACTCGGTAGTTCAACCTTACCTGAGAAACCATCGATCCTGGCACTGGGCATAGAGATGTGTGAAGGAAATATGGCCGCCCTTGGAGGACCGGAGTGATGTCACTTCTGGTTCCGGCCAGTTTTTATTTCTTTATTTTTTTAAAGCACTAGAGCATTTTTTTTTTTTTTTTTTGATCCAGTGCTTTACATTGCAGAGGAGAGATGTGGGGTCTTATTGACCCCATATCTCTCCATAAAGAGGACCTGTCAATAATTATTTTTATCACAAGGGATGCATACATTTCTTGTGATAAGAATAAAAGTGATTACATTTTTTTAAAGGAACAGTGCAAAAAAACCCAAAACATTAAGTAATTTTTTTTTTAAAGTTTAAAGTGCCCCCGCCCACCGTGCTCACACGTAGTGGTGAATGCATATATAGGTCATGCCCACATATGTAAATGGTGTTCAAACCACACATGTGAGGTATCGCCACGAACGTCGGAGCATGAGCAATAATTCTCATGCTAGGCCTCCTCTGTAATTTTACACTGCTAACCTGTAGAAATTTTTAAAGCATCACCCAGAGATTTTTAAGTACTGCAGTTTCACGCCATTCCACAAGCGTGCACAATTTTAAAGCCTGACATGATGGGTATCTATTTACTCGCCATAACATCCTCTTTCATATTTTACAAACAAATTGGGGAATATATTGTTTTTTTTTTAATCAAGGTGTTTTTTTTTTTTTTCAATAAATATATATTCATTTTTAAAAACTGCACATTTCAGTTTTCGGCCAAGTGCATTTTGAATTTTTGGTTTCGGCTCCAGAATTTTCATTTCGGTGCAGCACTAGCAGAGACGTCAGTTTTTCTGCATGCATTCTGCAAGGGCACAACAAAATCAATTGTTCTCTATGAGCCCTGTTCACACCGCATTGCTAGTATCACATGCAGATTTGTTCTGCGCAGTAATCTGAAACATGTATAAAACTCATTGAACCGCACATGAGAACTGAAGTAAACTGATGTCTCTGCAAGTGAAACCTGCATGTCAGTTTCCATCAGTTTTTCTGCATGTATGGTGTCAATGAGCCCTTAATATTTTACGTAGCTACACCTTCGAAAGGGGCCAGCCTCAAGTGATCTATCAGGACCTAATTTTCTGACTAAAGTTCCATTTTAGGGATAAACAAGAAATGTTTTGGGTTATATGGTCTTGTAAAAATTATTTTTAAAGTAAACACACTTTTTTGTAATGTGTTAGTTTAAAAATACTGTTCATGTAGATATAAAAGTCAACATTTTATTCTGTAATTTATCGTGTTCAAAATGACACCAAAATTATGATTTTGGTACAAGGCATGCAACGTTATGTACAAACAAAGTGTTTTTGACAATCTTGCACTTCTTTAAATGTGAAATTAAAAAAAAAAAAATATATATATATATATTGTTGGAGTGGGGAGGGAGGGCAGCAGCACTGGACACGCCACACACAGTCCTGTGCATAAGGGTCCATATGCACACTGGCTTAAGAAAACCTCATTGGAAGAAAAAGCAAGCGCTTATTTTGAGCGTTTAGCATTTCATTTCTGCAAGAAAACTGCTCCCAAAAACATAAAACCAGGTCTTTTTTTTTTGCCTCTAAACACTAAGCTTAACTGCTTCAATACCGGACACTTTCACCCCCTTCCTGCCCAGTGAATTTTCAACTTTCAATGCTGTTGCATGAACAAAAAAAAAAAAAAAAAAAATCTGCCTTCCTTCCCCCGAGGGCCGCCACCCTCCACCAGCCCTCCCACCTGCAACCCCCCCACCCACACAACACGGAAACAGCTTATCACATAGCAAAGGGCTTCTTATGATTGGCTCTTTACCCTGATCTCCTAAGGAAACAGCAGCCACAGAGAGGAGGACGTCCATGGAACTAGACAATCACGCTGTAGCCGTCTTCTGACCATAGCGCATTATTGAAGTAGTTAAAATAGGTCTCTAAACAACCTAATGTGCATGGACACATAGGATAACATTAGTTGACTGTACAGGGAAACAGCTAAACTCCTCTAGAAGCAGTGTTGTTTTAGCCAGTGTGCATTGACCCTAACAATTTTTGGACATGTGTAGCACATCCAGTGAATTAATCAATCAGTATTTTATATATAACATTCCAGCCCATCCATATTGTCAGCGGTCAGGACCAATCAGAAAAGCATGCACATACTGGCATATTGTAAGGTTTGTATTTGATTTAAGATAGTAAAGAAACATCCAAGTCAACGTGTCTTTATATGTAAGGCAGGCCATACATTATACAATTTTCTGTACACGTTCCTTTAGATTTACCTTCAACTATGTAGTGTAAGGGCCTGCTTAACTGGATACCATTGAAAGTGTTGTTTAGGGCCGACTTCATATTATATAGTTTTAGGTAAATCTAAAAAGGAAAATTGTAAGTAAAAAAAAACAACAAACCAAAAAATATTGTATAATGTATGGGCAGCCTAATGCAGGCCATAGACGGGGAGAAAACCGGCTGAAAATTCGTCCAAAAAAAAAAAAAAAAAAAAAACGGCCGATTTTTGGATTGTTAGTGGCTGAATTGGTCGGCCGGTTTTCTTGATTTTGACACATTTTTTTAATCGTTCATGTTGGGGAAAAAAAAATGGCCGATTTTGGCCAGCGGCCAATTTTCACGGCAATGATGGGCAAATCGGATGATCTTTTTCCCGATTAAAAAAATGTGCATGAGCCGTGACCAAAGAAAAAGAACATCTGTATCTATTTGTATCCATACAAATAGATACAATGTTTGCAACCGCAATACTTAGAAATGTCAAATCTATTAGCGGTGTCCCTACAGAGAGCTCCGCTATGATATTTGACATTTAAAAGTGTAACAGTTGCAACATTGTATCTATTTGTATCTGAATAGAAACATCTGTATCTGAAATGGATACAAATAGATACAATGTTGCAACTTTTTCTTATTATTATTCATATTCTATTTCTTCTTCTTTTTAAATGTCAAATATAGCGGAGCTCTCTGCAGGGACACCGCTATTATATTAATTGCCGGCCGTAGACGGGACGAAAAAGTTTTTTTTACCAAATGGTGGTAACGTCGGCTGATTGATCTAAAAAAAAAAAACGGCCGGTTTTCTCCCCGTCTATGGCCTGCTTAACTGAGCAAAAGTGGAATTTATCTCAGGCAAACTGAGGACGGACATGTGACATGACAATGTGTACTACAGCTGCACTCTACTGATGTCTGAAACCTGAACACATACTAACAATTCTACCAAGAAAACAATTCAGGAGCTACACATACCATCCTCCGAAAATGTGAACTGCAGCACTGTAGGGACCAGGAAAGAGAGGGTACTCTTGGAATGGTTGATCTTTCTGCATCGTGGACTAAACCACCCAGCTTCAGCCTAGTGAAAGAAAAAAAAAAAAAAAAAAAAAAAAGAATTCCCGGATTTTTTTTTTCTTTTATTTAAGAGCAATGTTGCAGTTAATGAATCAATATTTCTTACACAAAAATCAGTATACAAAATATTTTCTGTGCCATGTTTGAGCTGTCGTAGTTCTCTTTTTTATAGGATGAAATGACAGTATATCCTTTCTCCAGAGTACGCTTCAATGCTGGGATGTGCTCCAGCATCAAAAAAAATGGATGAGGCAAATCTTATGCGTTTGCATGTCTGCCCACTATTGAGCACAGATGCAGCTGCAGTGGAGGTTCAGTAGTGACAAGATGAATGCCAGAAAACACTTCGGCTTGTCATGAACTGAATTTTCAACCAGTTCCTTATGACCAACTTGACATTTGGCAAGCGAACCTGCTGGAAAATGTTACCAGATACAGTCACTGTTCTGGTATGCCAGCAGCTGTCAGTACAATATCCCAGCAGGGTACTCCTCCATCCACAGGCTGAATGAAGAAATCTACAGGGCATGGTCTCTGCTTTGGGCTCTGTGTAGTTGTGAAGAGATAATGCCTACTATTAACCACCTGGCAAGGTATACATTCACCTATCTGCACTTCCTCAGCTCTTCCAAAGTTTCATGCCATGGAAGGCCAGGAGTTAGCAATAAGTTGAAGGGTTTATAGCCAAAACCATATCTTAGGGGCGCGCTTTGCTATACACTGTAATAATATCCACATTGCACTATAGTCCACACCGTAGAGTGCAATTTACAGACCATTTACAATTTGAAGGCCTATGGGATACCATGGAGTTCCAACTTCTTAAAGGAGATATAGGGTAAAGCTCCTAAAGCTGCTGTAAGTTGATGTCACTCAGTGGGTCCATACTCTGAAAAGATCCTGACTATTAAAGCGTTACTAAACCTACAACAGTAAACTCAGTCTGTATATGCAGTAAAGCATGCTTGTTACACTCACTGTGGAACATAAAGTGTTAATCTTCGGCATTGTGTAAAAAAATAGGTTTGATCCTGTCTTCTCTGACCCTCCCCTTCTTCTACTGACCCCAATCCATCTGCTGGGGACAGTGGATTGTGTGCAGAGCATTGGAGGCTACACAGTCTTTTTCTGGGAGAGTGCATTTGATCAGCACAGGGCTAATCAGCAATGCCCAGACAGAGGGTCAGAGGTTATGCAGCCTCATAGGACAGTCAGAGGAGAATAAAAACTCCTCCTACAAGCTTTAACCAGTGCTATGCTGGACACTGATAGAAGTCACAAGACTGTTATATACTGTTGACGAGAAAAGGTTGCATTTCTGTGTACTGTGGGGGACCAGATAAAGTAAATGCAGGGTCCTTGGTTCAGTAACAATTCAATGTTGGGATGCACCCAGATGCTTGGACCAGCAGCTCACTCAGCATCTCAGCAAGCTAGCAGTTCCTGCCCTCACCAAAACTTGGCACTTCATGGAGTACTGGAGGGGAAGAGCAGAGAGCTGGTGACTTACAGTCACCAGCTCACTGAAGACCAACAACTGAGCGTCCAGTGTGTTTGATAACTCGGTTCTCAAGCGGAGGGGGACAGATGCAGCATCAGACTAATACTGCATCTATCTAGGTGAGTATGATTTTTTTCTTTTAATTCTGAACATCTCTTAAAAAGTAGAACTATAGGCAAAACTTTTTTTTTTTTTTCTGGATAGAGCAAGGTAGGGTTATAACACCTTTATAACAGATTTATTTTTCGCCATCAGTGTTCCATAGCAGAGATTTCCCTTCACTTCCTGTCCCATAGCCAAACAGGAAGTGAGAGGAAACCCCTGCAATTTAGGGAAATTCCTTGAGGACCTGCCTAGATCACCAGAACTAGTGTACCAATTGGAAGATTTCCCCTCTCTTACTTTTCTGGGAACAACCCAAATATTGAGATTTTCTTTTACTTTCAATAATGGTAAACAAGACAAATAGAGAAGGTGAATCTCCCTAATGAGGACACAGACAGCAATAAAAACTGGCAAGCGTTCTTATCTCCCTTCACTCTATCAAAAAAAAAAGAAAAGAAAACGTTTTTCCTTTAGTTACATAGAGAATTCAGTGACAGGAGAAGTAGGTCACATGACCAGGCTGTCCTCTTGCATTTATATTTACCATATTTTTCGCTCCATAAGACGTACCCCCCCCCCCCAAAAAAGGGTGGAAAATGTCAGCGCTTCTTATGGAGTGGCCGGTCTGGTATTTCCACCGCCGCCACCGTGTCAGAATATCGGGCCGGCCGCTCGTCTCTTCTCTGCAGCAGGACCTTACCTGTTCCTCAGTCCAGCGCTGTACAGTCTTCCCGCGCCGGCATCTTTAGTGTGGGCACCCGGCTGTCACAGCGCTGCGCTTTGTGAATGGTCCGGCGTCTTCTGGGACACATGACAGGTTCCAAAACACGCCGGGCAATTCACAAAGTGCAGAGCTTCTCGCGCATGCATAGTGGGCACCCGGCTGTCACAGCCGGGTGCCCACACTAAAGGGAGGACAACTCTGCGAAAGTGGGAGTGGGTACGTGTCAAATTCAGGTACCCGCTCCCCCTCCCTCCCCAAAGGTCCGCAGTCTCTTGGTCATCCCCTGTACTGTGTCTGCAGTCCATTGGTTCAGAATATTTTTTTTCTTGTTTTTCTCCTCTAAAACCTAGGCGCGTCTTATGGACAGGTGCATCTTATGGAGCGAAAAATACAGTATTTCTTTTTAAAACCCCATTCATTTAAAATAGCACTCTGCTGGCTTAGAAGTTCAGAAGCTAAGGGAGCACTAAGTACATTTGCAAAGCACATTAATCTGCATTTCTCATTGCTGTCTGTGCCATTTCTGGGGAGATTTTCCCTCATTTTGTTTCAGAAAATCAACTGATGAAATTTCCTAAAAATGATCATATTCCCCTGTACTCCTATTCTAGTAACAAATGTAAAAAAATTTCCTTCATTTTCGATCTCAGGGATAGTAGTCAAGATAACAGACAATGAAAGTTGAACTCACAGGGTCAAAACACAACAATAAAATCTGGTGACAACAGTCAACATTTTACAGCGGTCATTTATATAGTGGTAATAAACTTCCAATGGGACACCTGTATTGGTGACAACTAATAGCATTGACAACCTTCACCCCCTATTTTTTTATATAGAAATCCTTATCTTTTCGGTTAAAGTCTACACAATACATTTAATCAATTAAGAACTACCTGAACCCACTGTTGATTTTGCAGCCCTTTAAAATAACCTCCCTGTAACGAATATACAGCTATTAATTTGCATTCATACATACCTGATAAGCCACCTCATACAAGCAGCCATCCTTTCCAGAAAGGAAAATGCGTCCATTGTTGGTAGATGTTATGGACAGTAAGTAGGTGTTGTCTGTTGGGATGGAGTACAGGGGATCTGGCAGGAGCTGCATTCCTACAGACATGCTGTCATTCAGGCTTCCTGTGATCAGACAAAAACAGGTACTATTCAAAATAGAAAGCAACTGTGATACAACGAAGAAACATTTACAGTGTAGTAAAATAATCCACTTATGGCTATGGATAGATATGCATACTGTATTATAAAATGACAAATCTATAACAGACTATCCTGTTTCAGATAAATATCCTGCTCAGTTAACATTACTGTGCGCATGGGTCATATGTTACACCCATACAACTGGTTCCATAAGGCTGGCCATACATTATACAATTTTCTTGAGAATTTTGCTTTAGATTTACCAAAAACCATATAATATGAGGTCAAACCTAAGCAACCCTTACAACTGAATAAAATTAGGCAGGCCCTTGCACTACATAGTTGAAGGTATTGGAAATTGGGCAGAAAATTGTATAGTGTATGGCTAGCCTAAGTAAACGTGATTTAAGCTACGTCTGAAAACAACAGACGTTTGAGCAAACTATGTTTCTATTCTCATAAATAAAAATGAAAGAGAAATGTTTCAATGAATAAAATATATATATATATACAGTTGTGGCCAAAATTATTCAACCCCCACTGAAATTGAGTGTTTTGGCCAGTTTGACATTGCTTTTGATCATTCAGTCATCTTGCTTAAATTTACATTAAAGAGGCACTTGTAGGTCAGACAAATATAACATAACAGTTATAATGAAATAACCACAAATGTCTTTTCTGTGCTCACAGCATTATCAGTTTTATTCAACCCCCAAGTGACATTCAATCTTAGTACTTAGTACAGCATCCTTTTACAGTTATAACAGCTTTTAAACGTGAAGCATAGCTTGACACAAGTGTCTTGCAGCGATCTACGGGTATCTTCGCCCATTCTTCATGGGCAAAGGCCTCCAGTTCAGTCACATTCTTAGGCTTGCGCACTTGCTTTCTTTAAGTCCCACCAGAGGTTCTCAATCGGATTTAAGTCTGGTGACTGCGATGGCCACTCCAAAATGTTCCAGCCTTTCCTCTGCAACCATGCTCTAGTGGACTTGGAGGTATGCTTGGGATCATTGTCCTGTTGAAAGGTCCAACGTCTCCCAAGCCTCAGGTGTGTGACGGACTGCATCACGTTTCCATCCAATATCTCCTGGTACTGAAGAGAATTCATGGTACCCTTGCACACGCTGAAGCTTCCCTGTACCTGCAGAAGCAAAACAGCCCCAAAGCATGATTGACCCTCCACCATGCTTCACAGTAGGCAAGGTGTTCTTTTCATCATAGGCCTTGTTCTTCCTCCTCCAAACATAGCGTTGATCCATGGGCCCAAACAGTTCTAATTTTGTTTCATCAGTCCACAGAACACTATCCCACAACTTTTGTGGTTTGTCCACATGGCTTTTGGCATACTGCAGTCGACTCTTCTTATTCTTTGGAGACAGCAAGGGGGTACGCCTGGGAGTTCTGTAACGGAGGCCTTCATTACGCAGTGTGCGTCTTATTGTCTGGGCTGAAACTTCTGTACCCACATCTGACAAATCTTTTCTCAGTTCCTCAGCAGTCACACGGGGACTTCTCTCCACTCTACGCTTCAGGTAGCGCACAGCAGTCGAAGTCAGCATCTTCTTTCTGCCACGACCAGGTAGCGTTTCAACAGTGCCCTTTGCCTTGAATTTGCGAATGATGCTTCCTAAGGTGTCTCTTGGTATGTTTAACATCTTTGCAATCTTCTTATAGCCATTGCCCTTCCTGTGAAGAGAAATCACCTCTTCTCTTGTCTTCCTGGACCATTCTCTTGCCTTCACCATGTTTGTAACCACACCAGTAAATGTCTAGAAGGAGCTGAGTATCACAGTCATTTTAAAGCTGCCTAATTGGTGCTTATTATGCTTGATTGCTGCTCGGTGACATCCACAGGTGTTTTCAATACCTGATGGAAAGCACCTGTATGAACCTCTGTTCTTCAGAGTGGTAGTCTTTAAGGGGTTGAATAATTGTGGCAATGAAGAAACCACAAAGAACCATTTACTACTGTATTACATAAACAATTGATGTCATTTTAGTTGCATTTGGGTAGTTACAACGTCCTTGTAGGATTTGATTCTGAATACAATTCCAAATGTACACTATAGTCCCTAAACCCCTTTACAGCATTGGGGGTTGAATAATTTTGGCCACAACTGTATATATATATATATATATATATATAAAAATTATAAATAATATATTTAACAAAAATTTTATATATTATTTATACAATAATACATATAAATAATAAAAGACCTTACCTGCTTGCAAACTGGCAAAACTCAAACCCAAGATAACGATGTCAACAGGTGTGGCAACAACCAGCAGATACCGAATGTGAGGCTGGAAAATACCTGATGATAAAAACAAGAAATCCAGCAATCAGGAGTTAAGGATCAGCACAGTGTATTGAGGAGAGCAGTCTGTAAGTAACACTTACCATCTTTAGGTCTCACAAGGCCCACAGACAGGATAGTTTCACTGAGTCCATCAAAATAAGCCACATCCCCGCTAAGGAATAGAAAAATGTTACAATATTAGGAAAACCAGAGCTACTGTAGCGTTACACAGTGAGTCTAGAAAAGAATCACCTCCCTTTAAAATAATAACATTTGTTGCTTTGGAGCCTGAATGAAGACACAGTTTTTTTCTTTTATCCAGCTGTATTTACTCAGTGCAACTTATAACATAAAAGTGAAAGATATAACACCAACTTGTAAGCAAAAAAAATTTAAAAATCAAAAACCGAATCACTGAGTGGGAAAAAATGATTACCCCTTCCTAAAAATTACTCAAACAGGTGTAGCTAATCACCTTCTCAATGGCCCACAAAGCCATTTGACTTTCAACTCTGATCAGCTGTGGTCATTTTGATTAGCTCAGCATGACAAGAGCTTTCCTGGAGCATTTTAGTCCCTAGTAGAGCAACTGAAGCAAACAATCAACTATGGGTGGAAAGACACTGTCAAAAGATCTCCGAGATAAAAGTTGTGGACAGGCACAAGTCAGGCGATGGATACAAAAAATGTCAAAAGGCTTCATCAATGATTAGAAACACACTGAAGTCTATTATTAAAAAGTGGAAGCTATTTAGTTAAACACATACCCTCCTTGGATCAGGTTTCTCCAAAATGGATGAATGAGCCAGGAGGAACCTGGTCAGAGGCGACAAGGAGCCCTACAGCAACTTTGAAGCAGTTGAAGGAATTTATGACAGAGTGGTCATTGTGTGAATGCGACAATATCACAAATTCTCCACAAATGTGCTTGTATGGGAGGGTTACAAGAAAAATGTCACTCCTCAAGAAAGGCCACATGCAGTCACAACTGAGCTTTGACTAACTGCACCTTAAAGATTCTGAAGCCACATGGAAAAAAGGTGTTCTGATCAGAGGAGACTAAAATTTAATTCTTTGGCATCAACATTAAACAATATATCTGGCAGAAATCCAATCCAGCTCACCATCCAAATAACACCATTCCTACAGTAAAGCATGGAAGTGATAATATCCTGGTATGGGAGGTTTCTCTGCAGCAGGGACTGGAGCACTTGTCAGGATAGAAGGGAAAATGGATGGGGCAAAATACAATCACATTCTTGAAGAAAATCTGCTGTCCTCTGCCAGAAAGTTGTCAATGGGAAGAGGTTTACCTTCCAACATGACCATGACCCAAACTACACAGCAAAAATGACCACACAGTGGTTGAAAGAGAAAAAGGCGAATTCCCTTGTCATTCGCAACGTCACTAAAGTAAGCAAAGAGGCAGGCGGGGTTACTAAGAAATGTCACTGGGTGACCCCGCCCCTGTGTTTACTTTAGCAGCAGGGTGAATGACAGCTCCTTCTCTGAGCTAAGAAAACAAAAAAAGCCGACAATTGCATTTAAAAACTGGCAATGACATTTAGCGGCGGCAAGTGAAGGAGCCTATCTGTACACACTACTCTCTCACTATATACATGGCTTACCTCCTCTCCTACCTTTATCCGCTACGCACCCCCCCCCCCCCCCCCCCCCCATCTGCAGTACACAGTCCCCTCTGTTTCCTCTTGTACCAAAAATTGTATTGTAACTGTAATGTCTACCTTCATTTTGTAAAGTGCTGAGCAAACTGTTGGCGCCATATAAATCCTGTATAATAATAATAAAATTACAGTCTGTCCTTATTGGAGCCGGGTCTCTCATTATCAGCTCATTTTTTCCTATCGGCAAAATGCAGATGGAGCTATTTTTGGCTGCTGAAAATTCGGTGGATCCCTACTTAGCACTGGATAGACTGCAATATAGATCATTTGTCACATAAAACAGCTCTCAAATATGTATTTCAGTTGTACATTTAGAGGTTTGCCTGGAGTCCAGGTTTTTATATAAAATATGCATATTTTAAACCAATTTTACACCAGGGGTTTATTAACATTAAGAAAAAAAAAATCAATACCCATCCTCGTAATTCCACATGAAGATATCGCTGTCGATGGTCAGCCAAGCTCTGCTGATTTCTGGAAACACTCCCATCATACAGTTACATTGCATGTCTTAATTAATAATGTAAGGAAGAGTTTTATGCCACCACCAGTTCTCCATCAAGATGCATGGAATATGCTGGCAGAAGGTACAGCAGGACAAACAAGGTGACTCTCCCCAGAGGGGACACAGTTGAAATTAAAACTCAACAGGCATTTGAGCAACTTTCCCCACTCTATGAAAAACTAAAACAACAAGTTTTGACTTCAGATACACTTTAATATAACTTGCTAACTGTCAGCACCACCCAGCTTTTAGGAGTCGACTTTTGTTGAAAGAGCCATACAGAAAATGTTTAGCTAAACACCTACAAACACCTACTGCATCCAACTAGATGTCAGCAACATTGGGTATTCTGACAGCTATGGGTGCCACCAGTCAGAATATAATAGCTAGCACTGCAGATTTGTCCATCCACACTGTTGAGGGTGGATGGGGGAATCAAGTAATTTCTCTCATTCAATTTGTGGGGTTTAACGACAGAAATCCAAACATGTTTGGCCAGCTTAAAGCGGAATTAAAACACACAAAAAAAATTAACATACTGCAGTTTACCAATTCCTAGATGTGATGGCTGCATTAGTTTTCTTTTCCTTTATTTCACCTGGTGATCCAGCCAGTAGCAGACTTCCAGTCTTATGCCCCGTACACACTAGAAGAAAATCGTACGAAAATGTTCGTACGAGGACCAATCGTCCGATAATCGGATCATTAGTACACAGCTTTTGAGAGCCGATCACAACAATTCGTACAGCAATATCCGAAGGGACAAGTGCAAACATTTTTCTCGTACGATACAAGATCGTACGATTTTCATTTAATCAGTACAGTAGTCGTCTGAAAGTACAATACAAATACAACGCAACACATGACATCACTTTTGAAATTCTTTTCTTTCATAGGAGAATTTTCGTATCTTTAGTAACCTTTTAACTTTCAATGTGAGACTAGCAGGAGAAAAAAAAAACGGCCGATCGTTCGTCCGATATTCTCATCATGTGTACAGGGCATAAGTGTGTCTGCATTCTGGATGATGTAGTATAGCAGAGACCTCTGGACAGCAGCATTGTCAGTCTGGGGAGAGGATAGAGTTAGACCAGCAGATTGACTTTGTTCATGCGGATGAACACAGGATATACCCATGTAAGGGCTGTGTTTACCCAGCTGGGGATGAACAGGAGTTCCGTGCATCCCTGTGCAGGCAGTCCCCTTCATGTCAATATGGATGCAGTCACTGCATGGACACAGCCGCTGCTCCCAGACATCTGTGCGGGTGCAGGGCCCCAAACGCCGACAGTATGCATTCATGGCTGTGCGAGTAAACATGGCTCTGGCACAAGCATGCACTGTAGTATACCAGTGGGAAACAGACCTAATATGGACTAACAAACTGAAGCTGAACTCCAGCTAACACTTTATAAGCTTTTATAGCAACAATTTTTTATCTTTTTTGGGATAAAGGTTTTATATACATGAAAGCGGACCTCCTGTCAGTGGTAAATGGTTTGTCCCATCCCTGTAAATGCTACTTTGTCTAGACAGCTTGGTGATAATAAAAGGAAAGAAAAAAAAAAAACAAAAAACAAAACAAAACAAAACAAAACAAAAAAAAAAAAATTTAAAAAGAAGCCTCTTGAAGCCACCACATCTAAAAGTTGGCAAGCTGCAATTTAACCACTTACCTACTGGGCACTTTTACCCCCTTCCTGCCCTGGCCAATTTTCAGAGCTGTCGCACTTTGAATGACAGTTGTGTGGTCATGCAACACTGTACCCATATGACATTTGTATCATTTTTTTTTCACACAAATAAGAGTTTTCTTTTGGTGGTATTTAATTGGCACCGGGATTTTTATTTTTTTGTACTATATATAAAAAGAAAAAAAACATTTTGAAAAAAAAAAAATTTTTATTTTTTATTATAAAATTTTGCAAACAGGTAATTTTTCTCCTTCACTGATGTGCGTTGATGAGGCTGCACTGATAGGCACCGATAATCAGGGCACCAAATCAGTGCCCTGATTATCAGTGCAGATCCGATCTGTGACATTTGCCCGTTATCAGCAGTACTTTCCTCACGCTATGACAGGGTGAGGAAAGTGCTGCCGATAACCGGCAACTGTATTTGCTTTGTGATCAACTGTGTCATTGGACACAGCTGATCACAAGGTAAAATGCTGCTGTGATTGGCCTTTTCCTAGTCATGTGATCAGCTGTGTCCATACGACACAGCGATCACTAACAGTGCCGGTGCGTGTTCTTGAAGGACGTCATAGGACCACCCTCCCAGCACTGGACACCGAGCTGTAGCCATCTTTCGGCTATAGTGTGGTTGTAAAGAGGTTAATACATTTTTGTTTTTGGGTTTAATACGGTTTCAAGAATTATTTCTTCACAGCCAACAATCACACTCAAGCTTTCAGAGCAAGTCTGATGCCGATTGGTGGCTGAGAGAAGAAGCAACTCCAGTTCTTATTACAAACAAAAACATTGATACATAAGGCCTTCAGTTCCCTCAATACAGGCATCAGATCCTTTGTGTGACAACTTGGGAAAAAACAAAAATAAACAAAAACGACTTTCAGGATACGTCCAAACTGTTCAACCAGCTCGGGGGGGAGGGGCACTCGACGAATTGCGCTGAGCTCAGGGAGGTTGGGGATGGTTAGCAGGCCAGGTCCCTGCAGAGGATAATCCATTTCAGAGATGCCTGACACTGTTGAACAATCTGCAAAGATGAAAATTCAGAGTCACAATTATGCTGAATGTCTATATTAATAAATATGTCTTAAAGCTGTAGCTTTATGCCAATAGTACCCACAGCGTGCAGGAGGGAAAATTCAGATTTACTTATAGTACTTAGCAACCCCCCCCCCCCCCCCTTGGGTCTGGTATGGACGTTAAGGGGAACCCCACACCAAAATCAAGAAAAAAATAACTTGGCGTGCCCCCCCACCAAATCCTTATCAGAATCTGAAAGCCAGCACTGGCTGTGAAACCACCCCCCCTTTTTCTTCAGGGCTGCAGCTGGTATTTATCGTGATTAATGTTGGATCTTCTTCGGGTGACTTTAGAATAAGGAACGTGTCAAAAAACAGATGTGTTTTTACGCACTTTTAATACTTTTTTGGTGAATAGGGGTACCCCTTATTTATTCACCACATGGGGGGAGACCTGCCCAAGGGTTGTGGGGAAGAGGCCCTTGTTCCCACCAAAAAAGGGACAAGGCGCTTTGGCAGGGGGGGGGAATCCCCCCCTGCCCTAAAACCCCTCCCCCCCCATGTTGAGAGCATGTGGACTGGTATAGTTAAGGAGAAAGGGGGGTGCTCGCTTGTGTCCACGCCCCCACCCCCACTTTCCTGACCTGCCAGGCTGCATGCTTGGATAAGGGTCTGGAATGGATTTTTCTTATTTTTTGCCAGCGATCCTCTTGTTTACATAGTGCTGTCAGCGGGGAACCTGCTGCAGTAGATTAGCCATGGTTGCTAGTGATGCAGCGGCTGACCACTCCTTAGCAACCATCTCAGTTACTGGTTGTTATGGACGCTGGCGGCTGCTGGCTCCTTAAAGCGGAGCTCCACCCAAAGGGGGAAGTTCCGCGTTAAGGACTGCTCCCCCGTTCCCCATTAAGGATTGGCACCTTTGGGGAGCGGGTACCTGAATTTGACAGGTACCCGCTCCCACTTCTGGTTCGATCGCCTAGATCGAAAACGGAAGTTGTCCTCCCTTCCTGTAGTCTTTTGGGACACGTGACAGGTCCCAGAAGACTACAGGACCATTCATAGAGCGCAGCGCCATTTGCGCATGCGCAGTGGGCACCCGGCTGTGAAGCCGCAAGCTGTCACAGCTGGGTGCCCACACTGAAGATGCCGGCCTCCAGGAAGGCCAGTGAAACGGGTTACAGGGGACACACCGCAGCACCAAGAGGCAGGTAAGTGGCTGTTTTTTAAAAGTCAGCAGCTACAGTTTTTGTTCTGCTGACTTTTATTTGACAGGATGATTGGAACTCCCACTTTAAAAGGCTGATAAAATCATACACAGTCCCTGCATACCTGGACCACTACCCTGCCCCTCCCTACTGCCCATGTACCTCCTCCCATCACTTTACCCCATCTCCTGTCACCTACCTGACCCCTCCCCTCTCTACTGCCCTGTCACCTTGCCCCTCCCCCTGTCATTCCGGCCCTGTCACTCTTCCTGTCCCCCTCGTTCCTCTTACTGTGGACGGGCACGTTGAGCAGATCGGACAGGTCGGGGTAGGCTCTGTCCTCCTGTAACAGGCGATCTATGATCCTCCCGGCTCCCTCCAGGGTCTCCTGCATGGCGGCGGCCGGGGCGCCGGGGGCTCCGCTGGGCATCGTGTTGGGGCCGAGGAGCTGGACGGTCTCTAATGATTTCAAAACAGCACGCGACCCGCGCAAAGCATACACAAGTGAAAGCGCTGCGCCCTCTGATGACTTCACTCTACAGTGCCCGGCATGAGGCAAAGGGCGGGCAAACGTCCACCTATCGGTAACAAAGATTCCCTACTGTCGTGTCCAATGATGTTGGATACCAAGAGGTTGAAATCAGCCATATTGGTTGAGGGCAAAATATTTACACCTCCTTAAAGTAGAATGTATCCAGCGGTGTATGTGATCGTGTTACTGTGTCAGCTCGGGATCAGCTGGAAGGACGCAACACGTTGGTTTACATGATAATTCAAAGGGCGTGAATGAGATTTCCAGGCTATGGATGGGGATTGTCCCTGGTCGGTATCCGTACTTGAAGCAGGACGTGAGTAAAAGGGGGCGGGGAGTGGACAGTGTTGGATGCTGGAGTGTGGATCTGCTGTACAGCAACAGGTATGGAGTGTTTGTCCTAGGAATGACAGGGTCTAGCATGGGGGGTATCACCTGTCACCAGGACAGCCAATCAGATGGCACCAGCTGGCACTCTGCACATCCTCTGTCACCTCCTGAGCTTCTCTGATTTCTGGCTGGAACCCCTGAGATAAGAAGGAGTGGATACTGGGAATGGGGGCGATCGCTGCTGGGACGTCGGGGGGGGAACGGGGCGACCGCTGCTGGACGTCGGGGGAACGGGGCGACCGCTGCTGGACGTCGGGGGAACGGGGCGACCGCTGCTGGACGTCGGGGGAACGGGGCGAACGCTGCTGCACGTCGGGGGAACGGGGCGAACGCTGCTGCAGTCGGGGGAACGCTGCTGCACGGGGGAACGGGGCGAACGCTGCTGCACGTCGGGGGAACGGGGCGAACGCGCTGCTGGACGTCGGGGGAACGGGGCGACCGCTGCTGGACTGGTCGGGGGAACGGGGCGACCGCTGCTGGACGTCGGGGGAACGGGGCGACCGCTGCTGGACGTCGGGGGAACGGGGCGACCGCTGCTGGACGTCGGGGGAACGGGGGGGCGACGTCGGGGGAACGCTGCTGGACGACGTCGGGGGAACGGGGCGAACCGCTGCTGGACGTCGGGGGAACGGGGCGACCGCTGCTGGACGTCGGGGGAACGGGGCGACCGCTGCTGGACGTCGGGGGAACGGGGCGACCGCTGCTGGACGTCGGGGGAACGGGGCGATCGCGCTGCTGGACGTCGGGGGAACGGGGAAAAAAAGAGAAAATCAGCACAGTAGACATAACATACTAGTAGGATGTGTCCCTTGTGCTTATTCCTCTACTTGTAGGCCGTGTTCACACCATACGTGTAGAAAAACTGATGGAAAATGCCACGCAGATCACACTTGCAGAGACGTCCGCTTACATATGTGCTTCAATACATTTATACATGTTGCAGATTCCTGCACAAAAAAAGTATCTGCACATGGTGTGGTGGTGTGAACAGAGCACACAGAAAACAAGTGATTCTAAAGGCTTATTTTTATTTTCATTTTTTTTCTTTTTTAAAATAACATGTTATACTTACCTGCTGTGTGCAGTGGTTTTGCACAGAAGAGTCCGGATCCTCTTCTCGGGTCCCCTACCAGCGATCCTGGCCCCTCCCTCCTGTCGGGTGCCCCCACAGCAAGCAGCTTGTGGTGTGCTTACAGTTGAAAGCACTAACACAGCACACAGTGAAGCAGCACACAGTTAACCCTTTGATCACCCCACATGTTAACCCCTTCCTGCCCAGTGTCATTAGTATAGTGTCAGTTCTTTTTATTAGCACTGATCACTGTATTGGTGTCACTGGGGATGTCAGTGACACCAGGACTGTTCCCCGCCCCCCCCAGTGTCAGAATGCCCGCAGCAGTCCCGCTGTCCCACTATAAGTCGCTGATCACCGCTATTATTAGTAAAAGAAAAAAATGTAAAATTCCAGTATATATACCGCCATTTGTAAATGCTATAACTTTCACCTAAACCAATTAATTTACATGTATTTTTTTTTTAAGCAAAGACATGTAGCAGAATACATTTTGGCCTAAATTTAAGATGAAATTTATTTTTATACTGGACATGTTTGATAGCAAAAAGTCAAAAATATTGTTCTTTATTCAAAATTGTCGGTCCTTCTTCTTATTTTTTAGTTTTTTTTTTTTATATCGCAAAAATTTAAAAACTGCACAAGTGATCAAATGCCACCGAAAGAAAGCTCTGTTTGTGGGAAAAAAAGGACATAAATTTCATTTGGGTGCAGCATTGCATGACTGCGCAATTGTCAGTTAAAGTAACGCAGCACCGTAAATCAAAAAATGGCCTGGTCAGGAAGGGGGGTAAATCCTGGGAGGGCAAGTGGTTAAACTCTGTATACACATGTATTCAATTTTGTATTCTTTGTACCCTGCAGCCAACACCCTTGGCATTATGTTGCCTTGTATTCCTGCCTATAGTCTGCCTTGTAGTCTGCCTATATGCCTATGTACTGCTTTACGTACTCCCTTTGTTACCTTAAAACTACTATTGTAATATTGATGTGATGCCTACGTAAGCATGTGCATAAAATGCCTTATTGCACCAAGTAAAGGCAGAACCGTTGTTTGGGAAGATGCTGAGTATATCTTTGTGTCTGTTCCCTACTGTAGGCACCCTCCTCCAGCAATGACAGTTCTCTGCTCCCTGGATCTCAGCCCTCTACTGCCAGCTTGTCCTTTGCTTCTGCCATGTTTTGCATCTCTTCACATTTGGGGAACATTGATAATGCAATGCCTGTACACCCGTGTCAAAGTGATACCGTCTTGGCACCCGGCTCCGTTCTCTGTGCTGGACTGTACATTGAATTACACATGAGCTGCAGGCAATGTTTAGAACAAAACACTTGTTAGATAGGAGGGGAAAATGTTTTTGCAAAGAGCCACATGCAGTCTCTTGTGCCAAGAAGCTGTACCTCCTAGTAAATGTTTTCTTTGGGTTGGGATCACACATCTGTGGTAGAGTAATGCGAGTGCCTTACTGCAGGGTGGATTTGATTTAAATCAAACTGATTTAAATCACTATGTAGAAAACTAGGATTTAAATCAAGCCTTACTGACATAGACTAATTCTTGCTGGTATAACTTTAATATGCAAGTAGATGAAGATTTTTAGAATAACAACTTTTCATATTAGTTTTTTTTATCCCCAGTTTAATATATTTGGACAAACTTTTCTGTTGTACTTAGGAAGGAGAAAAATAATCATTACCTTAATAATAACAATTTAAATAGATTTATTCAACTGAAACAATAACATTCCAGCATATGTGATTTGCTTAAACATCCATGTTTGTTAACTAATTTGGCTAAACAAAATATATATATTTTAAGAAACTTAGACTGTCAGCCCCTTCCTCCTCACACTTAGTTTCACTTTCTTCTTGTGCAGATCTATTCCACTCCAAACAATCAGAAAAATATTGTTTCTATTCTATTCACTGAACTTCTTGAAACTTAGCACTGAAGGGGTTGATTCTGTATTCATAGGTTTGTAGAAGTTAGGATGAAGGTCTTTTTCATAACTCTGTTCATGTTCTAACATTTTTGCTGTGAAGAAGAGGCATGTGATCTCCGCTGAGTCAAATTCAGTTTTGAGAACTGCAAAAGTAAACCAGAATCTGTGATCATATCTTGTAGGCAGAGAAACTGCCCAATAATCCTACAAAAACCTCTGGAAGAGCATGACATTGTGAATGGATTAATGGAATTTATTTACCAAAAAAATTAAACATATACAGCCTTATTCTACATAATTAAAAAACTAATCTTTATTTCATGATGGAATAACCTTTGGATGGTAATATATTTTCCTCAAAAAGCATTTTATTTAAAAAAAAATCCGATTTTAAATAAAAATAAATCCAATGTAAATAAAAAAATTTTTTTTTTTTTTTTTTTTTTTTTTTTTTTTTTTTTTTTTTTTTTTTAAATAAATCATTGATTTTTATCCACCCTGCCTTACTGTCAGGTGGCCTATTCATTCAATTGGGCTGCAGTATGCATCAACAAAGGTGCATGCTAGCCCAAACATCTTCGCCTGCAGGATCTTCAGCATACAGGTTCCACTTTTAAGCGGAGCTCCACCCAAAAGGGGGAAGTTCCGCTTTACTGATTGGTCCCCCACTCCCCATTAAGGACTGGCACCTTTGTGGGGGGAGCGGGTACCCGAAATTGACAGGTACGTGCTCCCACTTCCTCTGCGATCGCCTAGGCCAGGGGTAGGCAACCTGAGAGCCACAGGACTACAAGTTCCATCATGCCTCTGCAAGTCATAGCTGTAACTGTCAGTTTTGTAATCTTTGCAATGCCTCATGGGAAATGTAGTTCCACAACAGCTAGAGAGCCGCAAATTGCCTACCCCTGGCCTAGGCGATCGGAAGCGGAAGTTGTCCTCTTACCCTCCCTCCCCGTAGTCTTGTGGGACACGTGACAGGTCCAAGAAGACTACAGGACCATTCAAGAAACTCAGTGGGCACCCGGCTGTGAAGCCGCAAGCTCTCAAACATGGGTGCCCACACTGAAAATGCCGGCCTCCTGGAATACAGGACAGCCGGTGAAATGGGCTGCGGCGGGGGCAACGCAGGATCAAGGGTCAGGTAAGTGGTTGGTTTTTTTAAAAGTCAGCAGCTACAGTTTTTGTAGCTGCTGACTTTTATTTTTTTTACAGAGTGAGTGGAACTCTGCTTTAAGACCCCAGTCATACTGGGTGCGACTTGGCATGCGATTTGCATGCCATACCACTTGCAAATCACGTACCAAGTCACACCCAATTGTCCGCAATTACAGCAGTCATATCGGTGCGGTTCCGACTTGGTTGGAGCTGCACTGATTTTCTGCACTACTTTTGGTGCGATTTGCTGTGCCATGCATCCGACTTTGAAATCGTATGACTACACTGTGGGTTGCACAATT